TAATTATATTTGGCCCGCGAGATCATATTAAATATGTATTAAAGTATTAGAGCTGGCCTGCCGGCTACAGATAGGACATATATAGAGACATTATTTATTTCAAATTTAGTTATTATTTTATATTATGTCTGTTCTGGGTTCATTGTTTAAGCAAAACTATTATTAAACATTTATTTTAATAAGAAAAGGTTTACTATTATATACATGCAGATGTTGTTGAAAATTTTCAATAAATATTTAGTTTGGCCCACGACTTAGTTCCAGTTTTTAATTTTGGCCTCTGTGAATTTGAGTTTGACACCCCTGGTCTAGAGAGTTCAAATGAGGAATCAGTCCTTTGAAGTTTGAGGTCGAGTCCTCTGTTTAATATGATCTATAAAAGGTCCGCAAATTTTCGTAAATTTATCTTGCTGGTCCGACAGATTATACCAAATTTCTTCAAGATACAAACATCGTTTAACCATTTATGGAAACAGAGAGGTGTTGTGGTCTTCCATTCCCTCAGAATAGTCCTGTTTGCGATAATCATACCAAACATAATGGTTTACTGAATTGCCCGGGAGTGTGTCGGTGTTTGATCCGAATACCAAGCACCACAATCAGAACATCAGGCCGTATAATAACAACTACCTTTTAAATTTACTTCAGTAGAAATTCCAGGGATGAAATTATCCAAATGATTCTGGTGAAAGTATGGAATATAAAAACATAGTGACGCATTTTCTGTATTACCACTTGACATCACAAGGTGGGACAGAGCATTTCCATTTGAGAGAAGAATGTGTTAAATATGTGTGAATGAAACAAAACACAACACAAGATCTGGTTTTGATGAGGAAACAACATTACAGAAACAACAGAAAATTCAGACAATTCTATCAGAAAATACCGTAATATAGACCCTTTAAGCATCCACCCCAAAGTTATTTAGCTGCCTTCCTTGTTCGTATTTGTTATAGAGTGCCTTTGTTTTGACTTTAACTTTTTAGGACATTTTTTGGTCTGTAGGCTTTATTCGACTGGACAGTATAGCGTGAAATTGAGGTGAAGAGCAGGGGAGACATTCAATAAATTGTCAGAATTGGGAATCATTCTTAAACAGCAGAGAGCCTGGCATATGTACTGCAGCTTAGACCACTTCACCACAGAGAAACATGGTACTCTTTAACTTTAAGTATCCCACACAAATACTCCCTTTGAGAGCCAAGTACTGGGGAAAATCAGCCACTACAGACAAAACTTATTACATTTTTCAGAGTCTGAGTTTATTGAGTATCATATTAAATACACATGTGCAAGAAACAATACATAATACATTTTACACTGTTGTTTAATCCCCTTTATTTTAATCAATGTAATTAGCTGATAACATCAATTAACTATTAAAGCAGAGCTATAAAGCAAAATTGACTTTTCAGAGCATTTAATTGTTTTATAGTTTCCCCCTTCTCATTTACTCTGTCAAAGTTGTGTCTGGAGTGATTCCTTCATGTTTGAGGAATTTTTAATTGCTTACTTTCAACATGACATTTTGACGCCAGTTTTATCTTTTTTAATCGGTGATACGTGTAGGATTCAGCAATGTTGTGTAATCATTTTGATGCAAATGAATAAAAAATCCACTAGCATGATGTGCAGCTTGTTATGGCGACATTGACGGTGACATCAGAACCACAACAAAAACTCCATCCATGATCTAGTTATTGATAGAGATGTAACAATAACTGAAATATTGTGATATCGTATCACCAAATTCTCACAATAATACTGTGGACCATCACAATATATCGAATTACAAATCAAGAGTTATGGTGCAGCAATATCTTAAAAAAAGACAGAGGGAACTACATAGTCCAGAATTTTGTCATGAAGGGCCACATATCTAAACTTGCAGTAAAAAGTTAATTTTTAATTGATGCAAGGTAATTTCGGCCAATTCACCTGGAAGCCTCAGGGCCAAGAAAAATTTTACTGAGGGCCGCATTTGACCCACATAGTTTGGACATGCCCAACATAAACCATGATCCTTTGCTCCATTTCAGTGCAGACTACGTGAAGAACAGTTCTAAGCACTTTTATTACAATAAATATCGTACTGTGAGATGTATATCATGAAAATATTCTAGAGAGAGAGATTTAGATATTGTTGCATCCCTAATCGTGAGCCTCCCCACCATATCGTGAGCTTTCCCACAATATCGCAATAAATATTGTACCTTGAGGTTCATACCTTGACAATATCGTATCGTGAGACTTAGATATCGTTACACCACTAGATACTAATAATAGTGTTTATTTCATATTACATTTGTCATATACCCTCCTCGTGCTGACTCTTTTATTTTAGTTACCCATTAGTGCTTTGTATCTAGGACTACTTGAGGGTCTCATTTAAACCTCTTTTTGTCATCGTGTTAACCCTTTTCTCCTGTGCTGCTTCTACAGAATTGACTCGTCTCTAGAGTTCGTAGACCAGGGCTCTGGGGCTCTAGGGCTCTGGGGCTCTGAGGGCTCCGAGGGCTCCGAGGGCTCCGAGGGCTCTGGTCTCATTGTGATGCACAGTTGTTTCTCATTGTCTCCAGCTCTTCTTGGAGCAGATTAAGTCCAGGCCTGTTTGTGGTGAGACGTCCCACATGAAAAGGACAAAGCACCACACCAGTGACTCACACTTCCACAACATTTATAATTCCTGCTCAAACAAGGCTACTGGGGCTGAGATCACTGCTGCACAAGGACAGGGCAGACAAGGCTACTGAGGCTGAGATCACTACTGCACAAAGACAGGACAAACAAGTCTACTGAGGTTGAGATCACTACTGCACAAAGTCAGGACAAACAAGGCTAAAGCGGCTGTGATCACTATTGCACAAAGACAGGACAAACAAAGCTAAAGGGACTGTGACCACTACTGCACAAGGACCGGACAAACAAGTCTACTGGGGCTGTGATCACTGCTGCACAAGGACAGGGCAGACAAGTCTACTGGAGCTGAGATCACTACTAGGGGTGTAACGATATCCAAGTCTCACGATACAATATCGTCATGGTATGAACCTCACGGTACGATATTTATTGCGATATCGCAGGAAAGTTCACAATATGGTGGGGAGGCTCATGATTAGGGATGTAACAATATCCAAATCTCTTGGTACGATATTTTCACGATATATATCTCACAGTATGATATTTATTGTGATATTTTGTAGAGGCAAACAAAACTAAATATGCTACTTTTTCCTCTTAAAACGCCTTGACAAGAAGTGCTTAAAACTGTTATTTCTTCTTGTAGTCTACACTGAAATGGAGTAAAGGATCATGGTCTATGTAGTTCCCTCTGTTTTTTGTTTTTTTTTTAGCTATTGCTGCACCATAAATCTTCATTTAAGAAAAGAGACTTGTATTTCGATATATTGTGATGGTCCAAGATATTATTATGAGAACGATACGATGACGAGACGATATCATATTATTTCAGTTAGTGTTACATCCCTAATCACTACTGCACGAGGACGGGACAAACAAGCTTTTTAAAAATTTGGTTTTGTTTATTGCTTTGAAAAATGTCTTGGCTCTGAGCGGGCTTGCATCTCCACAAACCTGACTCTTATTTGGCCTTATCTCCTGCTTCTTTCCATAATATAATATTTCACAGTATGGCATCAAACCTATCTATTTCCATGGAGAATGTTCCAAAGTATGGTTTTAACTTTCTATTTCCATGGAATCATGCAGGTGACATGCCATCTCCAGAAAGTCACATACTGGAGCTTTAAAGAATACGTTATTATGCCATTTTTTTTTTAGAGCTTTTAAACATTTCCCCTTCCCCATTAACCCACTCAGTTGTATTAAGTCTGATTTATTATTGCTCCAGTCAAACCTTAGCAGACTTGTTTCTTTTTTTGTTTTAGATCAATATTCTGATTTAAAATGTCCAAAATATAACATGATGATTCACGGGTGTCATTTAAAATTATAGATATTTATACCATTTCGCATATTGGATGACTGAATGCCCTTCTAATCAAATCCGTATGAAAGTATCTGTTACTATAAGAAGATGAGATCCATATCCAGTATACTTGAAATTCATATAATATTATTCTTGAATGTAATAGAATTTGACAATGTCATAATTTCAGCTGGAGGACGGGGGCCTATAAAACTCTGGAGATTCACTGGATTTGAAAGAAATATCCAAACATAAAATCCACACATGTTTATCATAATCTGTCAGACGCTGGGCACAGACACTCATATATTCGCCATTTTATAATTTATTCAACTGACAGCAATTACTCCTTTGTGGTTAAATGTTGCCATCATTTTTGTGCTGACGAAGAAGTTGAAATTTGTGTCTGTTTTATTTCATGCGGATAGGCTAAGTAAACATAACCCAGGTCACAACGTCTGCATTTTAATATAACAAATTTCCTTCCACCTTAATAAACTATGGGCAGTTTAAGATGTTGTGATCGTACGAGACAGTGTTTCAGATGTTTTAAAGTTGTAAATGTTCCTGTTGAAATGTTAATATATTTGACAGTAAGTCTCCATTCTCTGTAGTGTTGTCATGATACGGAAATTTCAAACTCAATTTCATTACTAAGGAATATACTTTCTACTGATTCAGATAGCACAATGATAATAAAACACTCTATTTAGACCACAGGATGTGATTTTCCACATTTAATCATAGTATTTTCTTTTATATTATTATATTATGTGTGGTCTTATATGTGTGTAATCCCTCAATGGTCCAGGTAGGTTCCATAGTGTCCATGGGCGTATACTAGTCTGTGTGCTCTATACTTGTTCTGATTTAGCTCAAGATTATTCTAAACTAAAAAAGGCTAATTTCTGTCCTGTGAATGTGAAGTTTTTGTATCAATACTGCTCCAGAGAGTATCTAGTTTCAATACTAGTTTTAATAATGATTAGTATCTGGTTTTTGATACTTTTGACAGCCCTATCCCTGTGTCCTCTCTGTCCCGGTTTAGTTTTGGCATGAATCACGACGGCATTGGAAACGCCTGTGGCCCGCGCAGTCAGGAGACAGCCAAGCTCATGGCCGACCACATCACCATGAAGACCAATCCCTTCATCTGGTCGGCCTGCAGCAGGGATTACATCACCAGCTTCTTAGAGTGAGTCACAGATACCTGCAAATCCAATCTACCAGTAGACTGCGTAGAAGGCAGAAATTAGCGATGGGCGATATATTTGTTCAAATATTTCTATTGACTTTTCCAGATATCGGCTGAAAAGTTTGTCGATATTTAACACCCATTTATTTCTTTTTATTTATTTCTTTTTTCTTTATTACATCACATAAATTTGTAGGCCTTGCCATGGATTTGAATATCGATTATAAGTCACAGCAGAAGGACAAATTTTGAATATCGTATCAGCTTTTAATAAATCCATATAAAACCATCTATAGCTGTAGGCCGTTGGTCACTTAGTCTATTACTGTGGTGTGTAAAGGTTGTTCACACTTATGCCATTTAGTACCTAGTTTAGTCCTGATGTAGTTCTGGTTTAGTTCTGGACTAGTCCAGGTTTAGTTCCAGCCCTTAGTTGAAATCTTGATCCGACATCATCTGAGTTTTTATTATTTTATTATTTATTATTTATCACATTGTTATTTTAAATTAAACACTAGGTACTAGGTAAAACAACAAGGTATTAGGCACTTGTAATTCTTAAAAGTGAAAAAAAAGCATAGCACACTCAGATGGCCCATGTCGAAAAGCTTGTTTTATTTTTAAATAACGTTTCAGTAAAAAAAAAAAAAAAAAAAAAGCCTTTGTCAGATATTTTTCTTGCTTTGGACCACAGTACACAAAGTGGTTGCCAGCCCAGGTGCTCATATTAAAGTCCCACAGTGAGGTCACCCAGTGAGTTCAGCCCACTCTACACCAAGAAAAAAACAGTTTAGATATTTTCATTAAAAAAACATTCTATTAAATGCAAAATTAGTTTGACCATATCACAAAAAGCATCTTAGGTCAAACTCTTCAGTCCATGAGGAGCTAGAGCAGGGGTGGGCAAACTACAGCCCGGGGGTCGTATTCGTTTAAACCTTTTAATCCGGTCTGCTGAACTTGAATAAATTACAATAATAAACCTTGTTGATGTTTTATTTTTCCTGCATTTCCGGCCTTTCCCAGTAGATGGCGCACTATATATATTTATATTTATGGGAAAGTGACAGGAGTCATTTTCGGGCAGCGTATTCGGACCATGAGTGAAGTTGAAATGTTCAAGAGATAAGGCTGCACTGTTTCCGTTTTGACTGTGTATCAAGTAAAGTCCAAAGTCTAACAGGCGCTGTGTTACAACTCTTAACACATGGAACGTCTCACGGGTCTGGTTATACTGCTCGCATAAGTATTTACACACTTAATCTCGTGGTTTAGGCTCTTTTTGTCAATGATATCTAAGCGCTCAGGACACACATTCGCCTGTGGTGTGCGGTAGAGCAGACCTCATTCACTTTTCATGTATTCAGAAACTTGCGCGTCCGAAAGTTGCAGCACATAGTGCAGAATACGTTCTACGTGAACGCAAATACAAGTGCAATGGAGCCGGGCTCTTAACACATCACGTCCTGTCTCCTGTCTGGCCCTTCAGTCAAATTTTAGAACCCTATGTGGCCCCCAAACCAAAAGTTTGCCCACCCCTGAGCTAGAGTCTTAAGTTTGTGAATCCAGAAGTGTTCTCTTTTTGACGGGCACATTTCTAGATTCCCACCTCAAGGGGTCAGTTTTACATGTTCAATGCCAATATATCTTAAGGAAGAGATAGGATGGCTGAAATTTACAAAATGAACCGCATTTCTAATTCTTATCTGTATCTCAGCTTCTTGATGTTGAGACATAGTATTTTTCTCTGTTTTTTTCATAGTTCTGGTATGGGCTCCTGTCTGAACAATGTGCCCCTGAAGCAGGAGTTCACTTACCCCACCACTGCCCCGGGACAGGCCTACGACGCAGATGAACAGTGCCGCTTCCAGTATGGCGTCCGATCTCGCCAATGTAAATATGCAGTAAGTCTTTTTCAAGTCAAATTTAACCTGCAATTTTAGTGCCACAGCTCTTGATTTGGTTTTGTTAAAGTCCTGGTTAGTTCCAGTTCATTCCCAGTTCAAGGACCGTAAATTATTGTAGTAAAGATAAACACAAGTAGAAGCAGTTAAATAAGAAATACTGAGCGTGTCATATATAATCTATGCATTTTCTCACTGTGTCTCACTGTGTCTTTGGGCTTTTACGCTTTAACCAAAGACGAGTGACTGTGAAGCTGGCTCTGTGAAGTGTTAGTGCCGCATCTGGAGCAGCAGACGCCTTTATAGACTCGTTGCTGTCAGTGCTGTGTGGTCAGAGCATATGTACACAGTAAAAACCATGTGTTTGAGACATTGTTGGACGAGGAGCAGAAGGTAGAGCGTCTGTCTGACTTTAGAATGTGCCATAAGAGCTAGGGCTGAACGATCTGCTAATTGTGTCTTTCTCTGTCTAAAGTGAGACTACTGTTCACTGTCTCTTTTGTATGGTCAAACAGGAAGTGTGCAGTGAGCTGTGGTGCATGAGTAAGAGTAACCGCTGTATCACGAGCAGCATCCCAGCAGCCGAGGGAACCATCTGTCAAACCAACACCATCGAGAAAGGGGTGAATATGCTCTTTGAGTACATTTATTAAAGATGCACTGTGTAACTTTTCGGGTGGAGGGTCCATCACTTGCTTGTCTCCAATGGTAATGGTATAGTTTTACCTTTAATTTTTCACAGTATGGTTTTAAACTCATCAGATTGATATGCATGTGATTTTAAATTGAATTCTGCACATGATCAGTCTGGGATGATTCTCACCATGATTTGTGCCCTATTGCACCAGCGGGCGCCAAGATAGAGTCTTGTGAGTTTGTGAACTCACAACTATCACAAGAATCCATCTCGCTGTGTGAGGTCAAGTGTCACCACAAACTCAAGTTAAAGGTTAAATTTGGGAGACTGAAAGTCTGAAAGACTGAAAAGATATACCCTATGGATTTGTTTAGCAGCATTTTTACAAAAAGTGATAAATTCAAAGATCTTTGCAAATTATTTCATTGGGTAATAATTAATAGAGAAGATACTATCAGGGACACAAGTTTTTATCGAATCAAGAACACAGTTTGCTAAGAATGATGGGAAAAATATCCCTTTTCCTATCTATCCCTATTTTTCTGTGTTGTGGTGTAATATCAGAGATGTAGAAAGGACTAAGTGGGCGGGACTTACAGCTCAAACAAAAATATGTTACTAGCTCAGAATTCAAAATTCAAAAAACCTTTTCATTAAATTCATTCTTTGTCACTCTACTGCAAGAATATTTGTTGAGTAACTGTGATTTATGTTTTGTCCAGTGGTGCTACAAGCGAGTGTGTGTGGCCTACGGGACCCGACCTGAGGGCATAGATGGGGGCTGGGGGACGTGGTCTCCGTGGGAGGAGTGCAGCCGCACCTGTGGAGGGGGCGTGTCCTCGTCTGTGCGCCACTGTGACAGTCCCAGGTGAGTCTGGATCTGAGACTGAGACAGCTCCAGGTCAGTCCAGGTCTGAGACATTACCTCCAAGTATCAGTATTTGCTCTATTTAATCATATTATGTGGTTCATCAGATTTGTTTAAAAAATGTTACAACTTGAGTGACATGCTTTTGTAATATGTAGTTTGAAGAGTGAAAATGCTTCAACAGCTAAAGCAGTGATTTTTATACCAACTAATGGAGAGTAATTAAAGGTGCACTATGTAACTTTTTATGTGGCTGTCTGCCATCTGCTTGTATCTGTGAACAGACTGTTTCTTTGTCTGGAATGTTTCACAGCATTAAACATCACTATCATACAACTATTCAATTAGGAAATGCTCAAAAAACATGCACTCTTTCTTTGAGTGGACTCACCTCTCCAGAGATCTGGCCTGTAACATGACCTCTTACCTGCTTGTTTCCCATGAGAAAGAGAAGTCTAATATCATCCTGTGGAACAGTCCAGGTAGAACAATAACATCTCCATGAAGACAAGCAGGTGGTGGACCCTTCACCAGAAAAAAAGTTATGTAGTGCATTTTAAGTAAAAACTCACGTGCTTAATCTTGTTTATTGGATTTCAGGCCAACTATTGGAGGAAAGTACTGCCTCGGGGAGAGAAAACGTTTCAGATCATGCAACATTGATGTAAGTATCATTGTACTAGGACATCATTGTACTTCCCTATAGATTATGTTGGACTTTGCCATGAAATATCCTAAATTTAAATGAACGAATGCACCTGATTATTTCTATTAGTGACTAAACTCACTAAACTCAAGAAGTGTTGACCTGTTGTGTCTTAGGACTGTCCCCCGGGTTCACAGGACTTCAGAGCCATCCAGTGCTCAGACTTTGACAGTGTCCCGTTCAGAGGGAAGTTTTACACCTGGAGGCCCTACAGAGGAGGTGAGATCTCAGGTTACAGTTGATTTTCATTTTTTGTTCATTAATTTGTTCTTGCAATGAAAAAGAAAACAATATCCTCGCAGTTGTAGTCCCTTCATAAAATCAGATTGCAGCACTTTTTTGTAGATTTTTCTGTGATATTCTTATGAGGAGGAATACAACAATGAATGAGGAGAAGAAAAAAAAAGCAGGTCCCACTTAAAAAACATAAATATAACATAAAATCATCTAATCATAATTACAGTGCTTATGAGATAAACCAAAAAAAATTCTTATATATTTTCTAAAACAATATGAGAGAGAAATAGTTTGGAGAATTGGACAAAAGTGAGTTGCATTCAAACACATAATGTCCAACAGAGACAGCAGTTCCGGCGAAGTTCTTCAGGCAACAAGTGCTTCTTTCATCGGGTCAGCTGATTTTACATTGGAAATCCCTCACAGCTGTAAAAATAGGACCTGTGCCACGGTCTCTGCCCTGAATTTAGACGAATCACGCCCTTCGGCCCCGACTCACCTCAGATTAACTTTTCAACTCAATCTCCTCAAAAGCTCGTCTATCTCACTACGCTTTATCCAAACACAATCAGGTCAGAGGAGGACTGCGTGATTTTAGGGGGAGGAAAAATAACTTGAATTTTTTTCTGATAAGGATTGCAACCGGTGATTAGATGTATAAAAACACAGTAGAAGTGAGAAGTGAGAGCTTCTGGGGATAGTGTCTTAGTTCAAAGTCCAGAACAGGTGCTTCTCAAGAGACAGTGAAGAAGAGTAAAAAGGGTCAAAAAAGTCCAAGGCTCTCTTTTGGAATTATAATGAAAGTCCTTTCGTAATCTTCCCTCTTGTAATAAATGTAAGGACTTTTATTATTTTATTATATTAGTTCCTCTGACTTTTTTGACAGTTTTTTTCTCTATCACGATTTGTAATATATGTTTTATATAATATATATATATATATATATATATATATATATATATATATATATATATCAATATATCACATATATATATATATCAATATATCACATATATATATGTGATATATATGAAAAAGTATGATTGTGTTCAGTGTATATTTGAAACAACTCCAGGAGTGTTAATATAGAAGAGAAGACTGAAATATGAACTGATACACTAATACAAGAAACCCATGCATTTCAGAACATGTTTGTAGAGGTCTAATCTACAGATTAGGGATGCACCGATCTGATACTGGTAAAATGTTGGATCAGATACCTGCTTCCAAATATTGGTTCAGCTGAAATCCTGGTTGGAGACAGATACATTGATGTAAAAAGACATCATCACCCTGAAAGTCTCATAATGTTTGAACTTTTATTGATACAAACTCTTCTATTAGTATGACCTCGCAGTATTAGGATTCGTTGACTTGATGGTAGGAGGGTACTTTTTTTATTTAACCAATTGCTACTGTTTGATCGTGACGCATGTAATGCGCCGCTAACGGGACTAACTGGTATATTAAGCTTTTCCCAAATCCCGTAGGGCAATAACGTCTTTCCCCTTGATAAAATTCACCAAACATTCTCTTTGTTTCAGCTTTAAATCCTTAATCTCAGGAATCGTTGCCAACACAGAATGTCTGTCTTCGTCTTCATCCATCTCGACCGCTTTGTTTACTGTTGTGCTGTATCACAAAAGGGACCCAGACAGGTGCTTGACTTTGACGTCATGGCTTCACAGCTCTTGACTGCTCACTGCTCGTCTACAACTTCTGGGGTTCTTGCAAACTGTCTAGTGTATTCTGATTCCTGACCTAGTCACTGGAGAAAAATGAAATTGATTTTAGTTCTTTATAGGGGAAATTTTATTATTAAAACCATTGCAGCCTTTGCAGTTTCATAACTATGCCAACTTGGAAATGTTTTACTTTGTCTATAATGTTCCGCATTGACATTAAACCTTTCTATCTCCAAAGAGACAACTAGGTGCTGCAACCTGGCCTAGTTACAATTCAGGATTATGTAGAGCAGGAGTCTCCAACCTGTAGCTCAGGAGTTACCAGTAGCTCTCCGAGGGATTTCTGAATTACATGTACTGTCCTGATTACGATAAATTTGATTAATTAAATGCATATTACTATTGTACTTGTATCATTTTGATGCCTAACTTTGTGCACTAATAAATGGATAATGATTTGTTTTATACTGTAGACATCTAACTGTACCTCTATGGCTCATCTATATGCTCAATTTCTTGTTCTGCTAAAATGAGTAGCTCTCTGTCATTTTTGTTTTGTAAAGGTAGCTCACTGGAGGAAAAAGTTTAGAGACCCCTGATATAGAGACAACCCTGCTCACAAGAAGAATACAAGAATTCAATGTTTTTAAATGTGAGATAGATATATTTAATTTAACATACACAGCTACACTACCCCCAGTCCGAAAAATTACACAGTACAGCTTTAATATTAAGGGTCATTCAAACTTATTAATAAAACAGCAAAAACAAAATTTCTGGAACAGGCTTAAGGTCACTAAGTACTTTGAAGTAGTTTGAAATCACAAATTTTCCAATATTCCAAGAAAATATTCCAATCTTCCTAATCTGATTTTCCTTATTCGTGGATGTTCAGTGTAATGTTCTGTTTTTGTTCATATTTGTTTGACAGGTGAGTGACAGAAAACATGCAGTCACAGTTTGTTCTCCAGATAGGTACACAAACACACAGACGTAAACTCTGCCAATAGGACAGAGTGTACCATCTCTGCAGCCTCCAGCTCTGCTTCAGTCTGTAAGAACTTAAAGTAATATAATTAAAGATTTGACCTGAAAAGACTTTGAAAATACCTTGAACAACTGATTATTTACTGCTGGCTATCTCCAAGTCTATGAACCTTCCTCTGTCTTCCTGCTATCCTCATGTTTATTTGGATTTAGAGTCACAAACCAGTGCATTTAGTATACAGTGTGATGAGGCTATTTACCTCCAAATATTTGTATAAAAGTAAAAAGTGCGTGTCCACAATCAGCCCAGTTTTCAGATACCCATTTTCACCATGGTCTGGCTGTTTTTCAGGTGGAATGAAGTCCTGCTCCCTGAACTGTTTGGCGGAGGGATACAACTTCTACACTGAGCGCGCTCCGGCCGTGGTGGACGGGACTCCGTGTCGCGCCGACTCTCTGGACGTGTGTGTGAACGGAGAGTGTAAGGTACGACAGCTTTGACTTAGATAAAAAGAGACTGGTGTGAAATAAAGCATAACTACACAAATAATTGTGGGGTGAGTTGTTGTACAGTTGTAGGGAGTATTATCTATTACACAAGGGTGAGTTGTTTTACAGTTGTAGGGAGTATTATCTGTTATATAAAGGTGAGTTGTTGTACAGTTGTAGGGAGTATTATCTGTTGCATAAGTTTGAGTTGTTGTATAGTTGTAGGGAGTATTATCTGTTACATAAGTGTGAGTTGTTGTACAATTGTAGGGAGTATTATCTGTTCCATAAGTTTGACTTGGTGTATGGTTGTAGGGAGTATTATCTGTTCCATAAGTTTGAGTTGTTGTATAGTTGTAGGGAGTATTATCTGTTACATAAGTTTGACTTGGTGTATGGTTGTAGGGAGTATTATCTGTTACATTAGTGTGAGTTGTTGTACAGTTGTAGGGAGTATATGCATGTATGCATATTTCGCTACTTGCAGTTTATAATCTGCAAATTATGACTTTCTTTTTGGGGGCATTTGGGTTCAGTCTTCTCAGTCGTCTTTATAAGTTTGTTTAAATTAAACATTTTCAGTCATACAGAAGTAATGTGTGATCGCCTGATATGATACAGACAAGACAGAGGCTCTTTCTGCAGGAGACATGTGCAGTAGAGCCAAGTCACAGTGATACGGGAGCTTAGAAGCTTAGAACTTTCTCTCAAGACTAGCAGTGTCTTTTAAAATTTGAATATATGTCGCACCGGAGTATAAGTCTCAGGACCACCCAAACCATGAAAAAAAGTGCGACTTGTAGTCCAAAAAATATGATAGTTCTATTTTTTCTTGTTGTAAAACAGTAAAAAACAGGTACAACACCTTTAAAACTTACATCAAAACTCCCATCACAACCTCAGTCCTTGTTAGAACCATCACAATTACATTTTCCCAAAAGCGTCAGGCCCTGGTGTCTGGAGATAACAGTGTTTACATTATCCCCGTCTGGAGGTGATCCACTATCTGCTCCACAGCGGCCGGGCCCCATCACCAGCAGCTGCAGAGGGAGGATTAGCTCAGACCTGGCACAGATCACAGCGCCACAGGTCTCTTTGATACTCACGCCTCATAAAACATGGTTAGATTAAGGATGAATGATTTGGGAAAAATATCTAGTATGTTGTGATTTTTCTGACAAGCTTTGGGATTGCGATTTCGTTTTAATAATAGGATTCCGTTCAAAGTTCACATTTTGAACACGACTGAAGACTGAGCAGGCAAACTGATACAAGAATCACATTTGAGAACATGTTTTTGCAGATCTAAACTACAGGGTGAGCAGCTTTTATGCAGAATAAAACTGGATATTTTGTTGTTTGTTACTACATTGCAAACAAAATTCAAACAAAGAGCTCAGTTTTCAAAAGATTTCAGGTGACAGTAATGCAAGCTTCCATAAAATGAAGAATTAGAAGCCAGACCAGCCAGATCTTTCTGTCGCCTCAACTGTTATCTATCTGTTGTACTGTTGTCACTACACTGAAATTTCAAACTCAATTTCAGAAATTTCAGGAATAGACTCAATACCGATTCTGATGTGTTTGTGTAATTTTGTGTCAGTTTGAATGTTATTGGACTGCTTTGATCCCTTCTGCAAATAGTAATAAAAAAAAAACTTGAACCTTGAAATAGTACTTGAAAAAATTGGAGCTTTTGTGATTTGCCAATCCAAATTGCAATTTTAGTTTAATACACGCATCAAGAATCTCAGACTTCCGGTCATTGCGCAATGCATACTGGGAAGGATTTTCGGAAAAAGTGAGCATCAAACCACCATGTTTGATTTTACAGTGGGATGCGTCTATTGTCAAAGTCGATCTTTTCAAGTCTTTTGAACCATATCGCTTTTGTTTCTGGTTCTGATATTGTCATATTTTAGTTTTGGGATTCGGACATTGTTAATTGTGTGGTTGTTGGATCCTAACAGCGGAAAACGGCTCGAGAAATGTGTTTGCGAACTCCATAGATGCAAAAGGGGAATCAGATGTGTGTGACTGCAAACCTCTGTTCAAACTGTTTCCCTTCCCATCAGAATTGAAAAATAGTAAAAGGTGAAGGTGATGGGCAGTATTGATCCACGGGAAGAACGAAAAAGGTAACCTTTGACTGCCTAAATCATCCCGAGTTTGCAGCAAACATTTTGTATGTGAAGTGCCATCAAAGCGGGATCCCGTTTTTTAATCGAGAGGTGCAGATGACAAACAGGCCGAGCTTGCACTTTCTTGTTCTTGTAGTTTCACAGCAACATTAAGTCTTGGTCTCTTTGCAGTGGAAGGTGTTTCTTGGCGAACAGCTGGTGCCTTTCGCTTTGGCATTGACTTTTTAAATTTGTAACCAAGGTTAAGTGAGGGTCCTAAATGTTTAACTGCAGATTGGCATCCAAGTAAGGTCATAGTTACACGTCCAGATAGTGGACATAATTTGCACATCATTTAGTAGTTCAGAACTGGTCTTGGACCAACTGACACAGTGTAGACATGATCTGTATGTCCATAACATATCTAATGTTTAGTGGGTAACAGCTACTTTTTACATTTTTGTTGAGTAGAGATGGTCAATTCCAGAGGTGAAAAGATCCTAATGATTCTAGTGAAGGAGTATGGAGTTTAAAAACGTAACGGAGCACTTCCTGTATTACCACATGACATTACAAGGTGGAACAGACTGCTTTGTGTTTGAGAGAAGAAGTGTGTTAAACATGTGTGAACGACACAAAACACAACTCCATGTGTGTTTGTGATGAGGAAACAACATTCTAACATAGATCAGAGAGTGGAGTATTCTGAGCCCTGGAGAACAGTGGAGTATTTGAAGTACTTTCATGCTATAAACAGCCTCCAAACATGGACGGGGTTTGTAGCCTCAGAAACAACATTGGCTCTGAAACTTCTCTTATTAGATTTAGTTTGATTTGATTTTAAAAGTTGCATTACGATTAAACCGCCCTGAGCCAGTTTGTGGGGGAGTTTGCACGAGATGCTTTTGTTTATCAACACCCCCCTCCTCCCCCTCCTCCTCCTCCTCCTCTCTCCATTTCTTTCTCTCCACTTCTGCCACTGCTTTTTTTTTCTTTACTCCTCTACTCCAGCTCATATCCCTCGCTTCTCTGGTCTCAATCCACTCTCCTGCTCATCTCTTCTTCTCTTCTCTTTCTTTGTTGCTTCATCCCTCCTTTATTGCTCTGCCTCCTCCGCCCCTCTTCTCCTTTCTCTACTCCTCTGCTCTTCACCATCCTCTCCTCCCATCCCTGCATCTACCCGTCCTCCTCTCCTCCACTGCTCTCCCCTCTCTTCCCTCCTTTTCTATTCCTCCTCTCCCCCTCCTTCCCAATTCATCTTCCTCAGCTCCTCTCTCTCCTTTTCTCTCTCCTCCTCTCCCCCTGTTTCTCTTTCCTCCCCTGTCCTCTCTCTCCCCCTTTTCCTCATCTCCTCCTCTCCTTCTTCTCTGCTCCTTCCTCTTCCTCCTCATTCTCTCTCTCCACTCCTCTCCTCTCTTTCCCATCTCCACTCCCTCTCTCTCCCCTCCTCTTCTCTCTCTCTTTTTCATCCTCCTCTCCTCTTCTGCTCTATCCCTTTTTGTGGCCCTCCTCCTCTCCTCCTCTTCTCTCTCTTTCCCTTCTCTTCTCCCCCATTCCTCCTCTCTTCTCCCTTTCCATCTCCTCTCTTCCTCTTGTCCTCTGCTTTACCTCCTTCTCTCTCTCCCCTTAGATCTCCCTCTCTTCTCTCCCTTTCCTTCTCTCCTCCTCTTCCTCTTTTCTCTCTCTCTTACCCTTCTTTTCCTCCCCCTCTGTTACCCTCTTTTCTTCTCTCCTCCTTTCCCCTTCTCTACTCTCTCTCTGCTTCTCTCTCCTTTTCTCTCTCCACTCCCCTCTAATCTCTCTCCCTCCTTTTCTCTCTCCCCTCTCCTCCTCTTTTCTCTCTCTCTCATTCCCTTCTCTCTGCCCCTCTCCTCTTCTCCCTCTCTCACCCTCTGTTCTTTTCTCTCTCCCTCCTTCTCTCTCTTACCCCTCTGCCCGTCTCCCTTTCTCACCCTCTGTTCCTCTCTCCCCCTTCTTCTCCTCTCTCCACTCTCCCTCTCCTCTGTCTCCCTCTTTCTGTCTCTCCCCTCTCCTCCTCTTCTTCTTTTCTCTCTCCCTCCTTCTCTCTCTTAGCCCTCTCCTCCTCACCCTCTGCTCCTCTTTCTCCCTCTCTTCTCTCCCCCTTCTCCTCTCCTCTCCTCTCTCTTCCCTCCTTCTCTCTGTCGTAGCAGGAGTTTTGGAGGAACCCGGTGACCTCTTGGCTGAGCCCTCCTCTCACTGGCTGCGTTCACTGGACTCTTATTATTGCTTTTCCTTTTGGGCTCTCTGCATCTCCCAGATCTCTGCATGCGCTTCTCTCTCTTTTACTCTGTTAACAAACTTTTCCACCCAAACAAAGGGCTCACATTTCAAAAGATTTCAGAGCAGTACCACAAACAAGGTGACGGTCATGAAAGCTGCCATAAAATTAAGAAATAGAAGCAGGACAAGACAGATCTTTGTCTGCTTCTCAAATATTGTCTATCTTGATTTCAGTGCTAAGGAAGAGGCTTAATACTCGACACCGATTCTTATCCCACAATAATAATAAAAAACACTCTTTATTTAGATAACAGAATGTGATTTACAACATTAAATAACAGTACTTTCTTTTCTGTTCCCATGTGGTCCCTCAGTGGTCCAGGTAAGTTCCAGGTTTCATCTTTATTCTGGACTCATGGTTAATTTTTAAAACTTACAAGGACAGTGACTAGCCAGGCTGGCGCCACCTAGTGCCTTCACTCAATTTCATTTGTCTCCAGCGACTAGGTCAGGAATCAGAATGCACTAGACGGTAGGGCTGGGTATCATTAAGAAGTTGGCGATACGATACATATCTCGATACACAGGCCAAGATGCAATACATATCTCGATACAGTGAACTTTTGATTCAATATGATATATTTCAAATCGATTTGATACAGTTCAATAAAAATAAAGGCTGTGACACTAAAAGTCTTTGTTAAACCACTTGTGCAACGTGATTATGAAATATGAAAGACACTAATTTTAATAATCAAAACAGCGATTATATCAGATATGTCATGTGTAGAATCACTCCGTCGTCCAGGAAGAATCCATGGCAAAGGAGAAATTAAATTTGTCAACTGGACAAACGTTTATTTAGGTTGAAAATGTTTCGAGGTTCATTCAAGCTGCTTCTTCAATTCTGATCAGACACTGGTGAATACTTCCTTACTGTATATCTGCCTGCCTAATTATACTGAAACTACTCTGAAACTATAGTTTAGAGTTGTTTCAGTGTAGTTACCTCCTCCCTGTTTCAGAGTAGTTTCAGTGTAGTTAGCTCCTCCCTGAAGACAGATATAATGAAGTGCTCACCAGCATTTTGACCAGAACTGAAGACACAGCTTGAATGAGCTGCTGTTTTTGATCTAAATAAATGTTTGTCCAGTTGACAAATTGAATTTCTCCTTTGCCTTGTCAAATGTGTTACATAAATGAGTTTCCTTCCACTAAACAAGCAACAAAACTGTAGCACTGTAACAAAATAATTTAGTAAAATATACCAAAAATACTCTTGGCGATATATTGATACAGCAGCCCATAATATCGATACTGTATCATCACATTAAACAATACGATATATCGACCTTTCAATATTTTTGCACAGCCCTAATAGATGGTATGCAAAAACCCCAGAAGAGCGAGTTTGGGCACCAGCCAATCAGTGAAGAGCCATATATTCTGTGTTGTCAACGATTCCCAAGATCGAGGATTTAAAGCCGGAACAAAGAGAATGTTTGGTGAATTTTGTCAAGGGGAAAGACGTTATTGTCCTTCTTCCTACGGGATTTGGAAAAAGCTTAATATACCAGTTAACCCCGTTAGCGGCACATTACATACATCACGACCAAATAGCAGCTATTGGTTAAATGATAAAAGCACCCGCCTACCGTCAAGCAAATGAATCCTAATGCAGTGAGGTCAGATTGTTTCAATGAAGTGAAACCGGTTGATGAATCAGGCTAGACAGTGATATAACAAAACAATAAACATTCATGTTTTTAAAAGACAACCACACCAGTGTCTCCACATATTGGACTGATCTCTTATTGCACTGAATCTCATATTTGTGAGTGACATTATTATTTCATTGTCTGATTTGTTCAGTCTGCAAATCAAACGGTTCATTAAAATTCTTAGTGCAGCCTGCAAAGTGTTCACTCATGCAGTACCAAACATCTCCGTCTCACTCGTCTATCATGGCCTCTTCAAAAGCACCCGTAAAGCGTCATTGTTAGCCACAAGCACTTTAATCCAGAGGTGGGCTGTGGGTGTACAGTATGATTTTAAACAACATTTTTACTTCATTTGTACAAGAACCAAACTTACGCATAAGAGGATTTACCTGAGCATAGAGCATCCTACACTGTCTATTTGGGGTATGCAAAAATATCAAAATATAAATATATCATATAATTTTATGTGATGATACAGTATTGATATCATGGACTGCTATATCGATCTATCGCTAAGAGTATTTTTTGATGTATTTTACTGAATTATTTTGTGACGGTTTCCTTGTTTAGAGGAAGGAAACTTGTTTGTGCGACACAGTTGACATTTTCACAGTTTTGATGATTAAAATATTTGTGTTTCATATTCACTTCGCACACGAAGTGGTTTAACAGAGTTTTAGTATTACAGACATGATTTAGACTTTATTTTTTATTGAACTGTATTGAATCGATTTGAAATATATCTTACCAAAAGTGCACTGTATCAAGGTATGTATCGTGTCGCGGCCTATGTAGCGAGGTATGTATCGTATCGACAACTTCTTGGAGACCAGTTATACTAGTTTATGTGCTCCATTTCTGTCCTGTGAATGTGACTTTTTTAGTATCGATACCTACTCAAATGAGTAGTTTCGATACTAGTTTTGGTATTGATTATTATCTGATTTTCGATACTTTTGACAACCCTAATCTGTTGACCGCGTGCATTTGTTGTATCATTTACAGTTGACCGCAGTTTTGTTTGATTCTGCTGCATCACCTGCTTGTCTTCATGGAGATGTTATTGCTTTGTTTAGAATGTTCCACGGTAGAGATTAAACCTAAATCTATCGCATGGGAGACAACTATAGGTTACGTCACAGGTCAGGTCTGTGGAGAGACAGCCCTATTCGCAGAGAGAATGATTGTGTTTTTGAGCAATTAGAAACACCCGTAATGAATAAATACTTGATAGATGTGTTTTAACAAAACAATAACACCTTCAAAGAGACGAGCAGGTGATGGACACTCCACCAGAAAAGTGGCACAATGCACTTTTAAGTGTTAACACTGAAGTCTGTCTGCTGGTAAAAATAATATTGAAATTATGGAAGGTATAGATAGACGGATGGATGGATGGATAGATAGACAGATAAATGGATAGATAGATGATAGATGGTCTAATATTTTAAATAATTTGTATCATTCTTTTATCGAAAGTTTGCTGACCTTTTCTTTTATTTGTTGGTTTTATGGATTATCTGTGAAGGACAAGAACAGTCTGAACCAGATAGTAAAAGTGTGCAGCAAAATCAGTGGTGTTCAGATGGAGGATTTGGCCTCTGTGTGGAGCCATCGGGTGCTCCAACAGACTAAGGCCATACTGAGCCAGCCTAACCATGTTCTTCACTCACAGTTCATGAAAATGCCCTCTGGGAGGCGCTATGTCACCCCACAGCAAAAGACTAACCTTTATGCCAAATCTTTTATTCCTTCTGCCATAAGGCTTTTAAATGGAAAGTGAATTTGTTACTGTGTCCCTGATGCACTGTGGTTTGAATGTATGGTGTCTGTCTTTCTTTTTCTTTTATTTTCTTTTATTATTTATAGATTGTGCACGACCAGAGATGTGCGAACTGAATAGCCCTTTGGGATTAATAAAGTTGTTGATTGATTGATTGATTGATTGAGATAGACAGGCAGACGGCTATAGACAGACAGAGAGATGCATACACGGATGGATGGATAGATGGTCAGATGGATTATAAGACAGATAGACAGATAAATGGATAGTTAGATGATAGACAAACAGGCAGATAGATGCATAGATGGATGGATGGTTGGATTGATGGATAGTTAGTTAGATAGTTAGATGGATAGATAGACATATAGACTTGTACTTTGTATTACAGACTTCGTATTAACTCACTCTACATGATCCTGTTTTTATTTTGCTTTTTTGTCCATAAATAAATTCCTATTCCTAATATGGAACTCGACTCCAAATTCACCCCTATAACTGCTAGCCTCGGTGAGCTTCACTGGACTGGAGCTGAACATTCATTTAGACTATAGGTTACAGCTAAAACTATTGTGCTATCTTGAAATACCTCCTTTCTTTGTTTGTGTTTTGAATCCAGAGCAATGCAGCTTCACCTTACTTTGCCTTACGACCTCATTGTTACTGCAGCATACTTGGGGGATTACAGATATGAATTATTGTGTTATCCATGGACGTTATTGCTGTATATTGTGCAGCCTTATCCTGAATCGTATCTGAAATCTCTGCTCTGTGCATCTGTACCACTCCCACCTCTTTTCCACTCTGCTGTAATAATTCTGTGTCACTGAAGTTTGTTTTGAAAGAGTCACCTGGCAGTCATTAGCGGCCATCCGTCATCTTGGCCCTGGACACTTGGCGATTTACAGACTGTACCCTCTCACCTCTGCCCCCTGCCCCCCCTGACCTTGGACCCCTGCTGACACTTGTCTCCTGGCTCCGCAGCACGTTGGGTGTGACCGTGTGTTGGGGTCAGACGTGAGGGAGGATCGGTGTCGTGTGTGCGGAGGAGACGGCAGCAGCTGTGAGTCGGTGGAGGGACTGTTCAACGAATCTCTGCCTGAAGGAGGTACTCGCACACACGCACAAACACACAGACAAAAACATGCACATACACAAACACAAACATGCAAACACACAAACACAAACATGCAAACACACAGACACAAACATGCACACAGAACAAACACACAGACACAAACATGCAAACACACAGACACAAACATGACACAACACATCAACACACAACATACACACAGACACAAACATGCACAGACACAACATGACACACAAACATGCAACACACAGACACAAACATCACAAACACAAACACACAGACACAAACATGCACACAGACACAAACAGCAACACACAGACACAACATGCACACAGACACAAACATGCAACACACAGACACAAACATGCAAACACACAGACACAAACATGCACACACACAGACACAAACATGCACACACACAGACACAAACATGACACACAACATGACACAAACATGACACAAACATGCAAACACACAGACACAAACATGCACACACACAGACACAACACACACACACAGACACAAACATGCACACAGACACAAACATGCAAACACACAGACAAACATGCACACACATACAGACACAAACATGCAAACACACAGACACAAACATGCACACACACAGACACAAACATGCACACACACAGACACAAACATGCAAACACACAGACACAAACATGCACACACAGACACAAACATGCACACAGACACAAACAGACACAAACATGCAACACACAGACACACAGCACACACATACAGACACAAACATGCAAACACACAGACACAAACATGCACACACACAGACACAAACATGCAAACACACAGACACAAACATGCAACACACACAGACACAAACATGCACAGTCACATACAGACACAAACATGCACACACACAGACACAAACATGCACACACACAGACACAAACATGCACACACACAGACACAAACATGCACAGTCACATACAGACACAAACATGCACACACACAGACACAAACATGCACAGTCACATACAGACACAAACATGCACATACACACATGCGTACACACTCACAAGCACTACCCAAAAAAAGGACTAGTATTGGTGTGGGTACTTCAAGATTAAAGTGCATATGACAGTGACAGGTTAGACTACTGAGTTCACTAAATCACACTTAAAGCCACAGATGCGACGTTTATATGAGAGCTTTAATTCTGAATAAAAATAATTTAATTCTGAATAAAAATGAAATCCCCTTTAAAAAGTCCATGTAAACAGTTAATTCTTAATGAAAATGATTATTGGTAATTAAATTTGATTCCGAAGTAAGTGGGTGGATTATTCCGATTTTTTATTTTATTAATTTATTCCTGGATCATGTAAACATTTATTCCTCTTAAAAATAATTCCCGTCGTTTAGCGCATGCTGGTTGAGTTGCCCTTCTGACGCGATCCGGACGGTCCAGTTCCACCGGTCCTGGCTTTGGACTTTCATCCACGTCTCTTTGGATTTGTGAGCAGGATGTGGGAGTGGGCTGAGGTAGAGCAGCCGTTGACTCAGTTTGTCTTCTTCCTCCCTTCTCCGACACTCTTCCTTTCTCCTCCTCAACTGACAGACGTAAAGCGTGATGAGACAATTCTCAAGCTGCTCAAGAATTCATCGGAACGACTGCGAAAAAAGTTTGTATCATATTTGTGTTCATGGCATAACGACAAACTGGAATGACAAAAAAGCCGATAGCAGCTGAAGTGTGTGTTTTTTTCCAGTAAACAAAAATACGTTGGTATCCTTGTCCCATCAGAACCCTTCCCCACCCCAGACATTGAGTGGAATTAAATAAAGCCTCCTCAGCTGACAGATGTAAAGTGTGATGAGAAAATTCTCCAGCTGCTGCTTCATTATCATCGGAATGACCGCGAAAAAAGTTTGTATCACGTTTGTGTCCGTGGCGTAACGACAAACCAAGATGACAAAAAAGTTGGTAGCAACTGAAGTATGTGTTTTCTTCCTGTCGACGGAAATACGTTTGTGTCTCTGTCCAATCAGCACCCTTCCCCACCCCCAGACGTTGAACGGAATTAAACAAAGGCAGTTTAACGTGTTTTCCATGTAAACCTCAATTTGGAATTATTATTTCCATGTAAACTCGAAGGAGAATATTTTAATTCCAAACTATTTAATTCAGAACCATTAATTTGAAATTAAAAACGTCATGTAAACGTGGCCAGTATGTTGATGTTGATATGTGTGTCACTCTACGCACTCTCAAAGGCGCTTGCTGAAAACCTAGAGCGACACAACACTGGAACAACACAGGGAAAAATCCAGTTGAGAGTTCACGTTGAGGCTAAAATGGGTTGAAGTACGTCTCTCTGCGTCACTATGTTTGTTTTGGTTCGATAAGGCATTTCACCTGTGAACTCACAAATATCATGAGAATCCCTCTTGCCGTGTGAGGTTGAGTTTTAGCCAAATAAATAGAATACTGTACTTTTTTTCACTGGAAAATGTATAAAATGTGAAAAGGCTTGCATCTTCACAAACCTGACTCTTATATAGTTGTATAATCTTCCACAGTAAGGCAAAATTTATATCTCCATGGAAAATGGTTTAACGTTCTATTTCTATGGCGTCATTTAGGTGAGACTTTATTATAAATCTTGCAAGTTTATAATTTTACTTCCTGGTTGGACACGGGCAGCAGATATGACATGAATTGAGCTGATTAAATGACTATTACCTAGAATCCATAAAGTAAACACGTTCCAAAACTTGCTTAAACTGCACAATAGTTATGATTAGACTAAACAATAAATGACAACAGCTTTATTTTGATAAATGAATGTTTAAACAGTCAGCCTTCCTTGTGCGTAAGACGTTTTCTGTTTAAAAAGTCAGCGCTACTTCCTGTATTCTTGCACTTTCACTTTTCACTGATGTAAAACTATGATAAATATTTACCAGTGGTCCAATCTCACCAAATAATTAGAAAAACATGGAAACCTGTCACATCCACTTTGAAATAAAAAGAATAAGATGTACATTTTACACAGAAATTTTCAATGAATTCCTGAAAATCTGAATTCCTCTGCAAAACACAAGGCAGACCATGCTGATTAAAAAGCCCCTGACCATCAAAATCTGCAAACAATTTAATCATGATTCTATAAAAATTAAATTAATCTTACAGTCTTAGTGAGCGCTCAAAACCCAAATCCACCTCGACACAAAAATCCACTTTAAACGAGCTCCAGAATTAATGGGGAAAGTAGAATGAAGTAATACCTATTGTAGTAGTGACTGTGGTGTGTATTAGCTCTTATAATTAACGTAACTGACTTTGAAGAGTTTGATGTAACTTTATTGTTGTGCAGTACGAACGGTGCATAAGTCTTTTTTGGCATGTAGCTGGTCTCTGGAGCCAGGGCAGCCCAGGCATTTAAGTGTATCATATAATTATACCTTCTCATGCAAACTCCCCACTGAGCTGCTAATGTCTGACAATAACAATAGGTCCTTTCAGCGGGCGTCATTTGTGAAGAATTTGCTAGAACAACAGATAAATGCATTTGTGAAGTGATGCTGTGCAGGTATGGATGTGCTAACACTAATGCTAATGGAGATAATATATCAAAATAACAAAGTTTGTAGACACAGACAGCGGCGTTGCCAAATAGGGTTAGGCAAACAAAAACTATACTGAAACTAGATCTTCATTTGAGCAGGTATCGGTACTAAAAAGTCACATTCACAGCAGCTTTCTGAATAGTTTTAGAATGATTTTGAGCTGTATCAGAACATGGACTAGTATACACCCATGGACCACGATGAAACCTACCTAGACCACTGAGGGACTGCACAGAGTACTACGATTTAGAGGTGCACTGTGTAACTTTTCCAGTGGAGGGCTTGTTAAAAATGCTTGTCTTTGTAGATGTTATTGCTTTGTCTGTTACCTGTTTCACTTATTGTCTCCATGGTGATAGATATGTTTAATGTTATACTCAGTGTTGGGGAGAAACAGATTACATGTACCAGAGTTACGTAATCAGAGTACAAATTATGAGTAACTGTATTCAGTTACATTTACTTTTTCAGTGAGCGGTAACTTTTTTTTCGGTAATTCCGCTCATTGCCGGAAACTAAACCAGGTCTAAACTAGATCTAAACCAGGTCTAAACCAGGTCTAAACCAGGTCTAAACCACGACTAAAACCAGGACTAAAACCAGGTCTAAACTAGATCTAAACCAGGACTAAACCACGACTAAAACCAGGACTAAAACCAGGTCTAAACTAGATCTAAACCAGGACTAAACCAGGACTAAACCAGGACTAAAACCAGGTCTAAACTAGATCTAAACCAGGACTAAACCAGGACTAAACCAGGACTAAAACAGGACTAAAACAGGACTAAAACAGGACTAAACGATGCTGCGTGGGTGTGTTTCCTCCTCTTCTATTAATAATATTTTTAATTTGATTAAGTAAAGTCTGGGCTTTTTATTTTCTTTTATCAGACAAAACATCTTGTGTTACGATTTCCTCGTCTTTGCTTCTCTACAGCAAATGAAGTAAAATGTATTCAGATTACATTACTCATCTTAAGTAACTTAATGGATTCCGTTACAAACTATATTTTGGGGTATGTAATCTGTAATCTGTAGGGGAATACATTTTAAAAGTAACCTTCCCAAGACTGGTTATACTGTGGAACATTCCAAATCTGCGTGGAAACAAGCAGGTGACAGACCCTCTACGCAGTGCATTTTTAAGGTTATGTCGTCAGTGATATGGTTGTTTATGCCCTTTTATCTGACCGTAGTTTCGATTTACTATTATAATTCACTGTTTGACATTGCATCGTACCACCAAATATGCAAGTAATCAAGTCTGTAGTTTTTGATTTTCGTTCACTGACAATGGCAATAAAACATTTCCTGATTCTGATTCAATCCTCTGTCAGTGAAGGCATGTGGCTCTGAGCACAGTTCAGACTTTGGAAGAACTCTGAAGAAATTTGATTATTTTTGGGTTCGATGGCAATGCTCAAAGACATTTTTATTTAGTTTTTAAAAAGAAAAAAATTATTGAGTGGACACTTGAGATCAATCAGTATGCGGGGGAAAAAATTATAATTCATTTGCCATATCGCCCAGCATTAATGCCAATGGTGCTGAAACACTTTTCCAAAACCCTGGAGCCCCCCTAGATTGGCTCTTTACCTATTTGAATTAAAGGGCCCATATTACACTATTTTCTGGTCTATGTCATAATGTCGTTTCCTCATCACAAACATATCTGGAGTTGTGTTTTGTTTCATTCACACATGTTTAACACACAAATTCTGCATATTTAGGCTGAGTTCTTCTCTCAAACAGAAAACACTCTGTTCCACCTTGTGATGTCATGTGTCACTGTGTTTTTAAACTCCATACATCGCCACTAGAATCATTTGGATCATTTTGCCCTGGAATTGCATCTCTACTGATCTAAAAGCTAAAAGGAGCTGTTAACTTGAAAACCACCGCTTCATGACATCACAAGTTGGAACAGAGCATTTTGAGCTTTGGAGAGAGACAGAAAAATGAAAAATGGAGGTAACAACTAGGGATGAACATTTGATTAAATTTTCTTAATCAATCGTCGGGAGAATTAACGATCTATTTTCAGTTATGACATTATAATGTGTTTAATGCAGCTTTCTTTTTAAGCTGTGACTAAAGGACACGACTCAGTGGAATATGAGTGTTCTCTCTGTGACAGAGAGATGTTGATGATGATGATGGTGAGTCTGTACTGTGTGTGTGTCGCCTTGGAGATGTTTGGACACTGATGTGCATGTAAACGCACTCACTGAGTGGTACAGTATCTCCAAGGAGGAGAAGCCTCATCTCCTATGCTACGCTACGCACAGCAACCTTGAAAGTGAATGTGATCGACGAAATGATCAATTATTGATTAGTTGACTGATCATGCCCATCCCTAGTAACAATATTACAACATTTCTTAAAGCTCACAGGAGTAAATTTAGCTAATTATGGGACCTTTCTTGACACTCGAGGTTATTTTACAACAATTTTTGTTATACAAAAAAGTCAAAATATACAGAATTATACCATAACAAATCATTGTTTCCTGTCCCTGACCACCCTGACCACCCTGACCACCCTGACCACCCTGACCACACTGACCACCCTGACCACCCTGACCACCCTGACCACACTGACCACCCTGACCACCCTGACCACACTGACCACACTGACCACCCTGACCACCCTGACCACACTGACCACACTGACCACCCTGACCACCCTGACCACACTGGCCACACTGACCAGGCAGTTAGAGCTTTTTTAACCCCGTCTTAAATCTCAACTGCCCTCAGAATGTCTCACAGCTTTTGTCAGTGTTTCCTTTAAATAGTTATTGTGAGAGGAGCTGCCAGATGTTTATTTCATGGGTCTGTCCAAACAACAACTAAATAAATATCTGTCATGTTTACAAAATTATATTGTCAAAGAAGTAGTGTAATAAAGCAGAAGTAATTATATTAAAAACTTGAAATATGAAAGTGGAAACAGCTGTTCACCAAAGAGAACTATTGAAAATTGAAGATGTAAGAATTCAGTGGTTAGTGACAAAATTAATATCTCTATTATTTTGGGGATCATCTTGATAGAGGGGTTGTTGCTTTGTTCAGTTAAATGTTTTGTCTCTGTGTGTGTGTGTTGACATAAGCAAGCAAGTTTCTTTTCTATGCTGTACCGAAAGCAATTGTTTGTGCCGCCATTAAAGGGCCCATATCACACTATTTTCTCATCAAAAAAGGCAAGCCCAGTCACATTAAGAATGCATGTTTTTATTATTATTTATTTATTTTTGAGCAATGAAAAGACTTAAAATAAAAATTTAAAAATGCAAGATTGATTGACAGACTTGTGCCAAACTGTGGAACATTCCAGGCTAAGCAACAACATCTCCATGGCGACAAGCTCCTCACACAGAAAAGTTACACAGTGCAACTTAACTTTTATGTAGTCATAATTAATCATTCTTTAAACTTTGTCTTTCATCTCATATTGTCATTTTTGAGTTATACCAGAGATCTAAGAAAGCCCGTCAGTTTGTTAAAAAGCAGAATAATGTTACAAAAAGATAAAAATAATAAGTTGGCTGCCTACATAAAGAGGAAAAATGTTCAGGGCCAAAACAGCTGGAGCGAATGAAGTCTGGCACAGGTCTGTGTCTGGAGGTCCTCTGCTCAGGAATGTATCTGGAATCTGCAGAGTGAGCTGGACGTCCCATAGACTTACACAGGCTTACATAAAGTTACATATAGTTATACAGAGTTATACAGAGATACACTGAGTTATACACTGAGTTATACACTGAGTTATACACTGAGTTATACACTGAGTTATACACTGAGTTATACACGGAGTTATATACAGAGTTATACTGAGTTATACTGAGTTATACTGAGTTATACTGAGTTATACTGAGTTATACTGAGTTGTACTGAGTTGTACTGAGTTGTACTGAGTTATACTGAGTTGTACTGAGTTATACTGAGTTGTACTGAGTTGTACTGAGTTGTACTGAGTTACGCAGAGTTAATTACACAAAGTTATACAGAGTTATATTATTATTCTTTATTTCAGACACAAATATTATTCGGTCCATAGTTTAAAAGAAAAACTGGATACAAAAAATACCTACAAACATACAAATCTCCCAAATTAGTCCATAAAGTATATTAAAAGGTTTTCTCAGAGCAGAGGTGTAACAGCATGAGCTCATTGGAGGATTGGTCAAAGTCATTATGATAGTTTTCAGACACCTCCAGGCGCCCCATAAATGTGTACATTAAATGTCTAAGCAGTGCCTCACACATGGGGATGTGAGTGTCCACAAACAGCTGACTGGCACTGTGCCATCTGGGCACCTGCAGAAGAATCCTAAAGGCGTCATTGCAGACCACAGTGAACCTGTGGAAGGTCCCACTTCCATAATTCCACCACAGAGGGGCTGTGTACAGTGGAGTACAATAGGCTCTGAACAGGGAACATTAAAATCATGAGAACACATACTACATTTGCCCGGGCATACAGTTTACAACACATCCAACTGTCTCTTGATGTCTTTGTCCTCCCACCAATCATCTGTCACAAAGTGACCAAGGTATTTGGAATCAAGAGGCTGATCCCATAACTTAAAGACAGGAAAGTTCATATTTTTATCCTCTTTACTCCTCACACTCATGATGTTACTCTCTGAGATTATACTTAATGTCATGCACTGTAAGGACTGATGATCACAAGATGATCAGCATATAGGAGGTGTCAGATCTGTGGATCAGCTCACAGTCAGAATACATGTTTTTCTAGGTATTTTTGAACAATAAAACCAGCTGTAATTGAATGATTGTAAGTTAGATCTATTTCATGTCATACTATGGAACATTCCAAGCAGAGTGATGACATTTACATAGAAACAAGAAGGTAACGGACCCACTACCGAAAAGTTACACAGTGCACCTTTAAGATTAAGATTAAGGAAGTGAATCTTAAGTCAATATAATGTCCTCAGAATGCATGGAAACCCAGCATGTGTGTGTGTGTTACAGGGTACGAGGAGGTGGTCCGAATTCCCAAAGGATCCGTCTTCATCCACATCCAGGAGCTCAATATCTCCCTGAACTACCTGGGTAAGCAGTCTGCACGTGCACTGAGCTGTGTGCAGGGATTTGTGTGGAAGGTGAACACTATCTTGACTTTAGACTAATTAAAAGAGTTTAAGTCACACCAGTCTTAAGCCCACAGACTAATGGACATGCTGCAAATGTTGCATTTTAAATAGGGAGTGAGCATCGCCGCACTTCCGACTCCATCGACTCCAATTTCCAAATCCCTTTTTATTGGAAAAGTTGTCCCTCTCTCTGTAACTGCTGCTGTCAGGCTTCTCATTTTGGTCTTAAAATGTTCACACTAACCCACTAACCCACATAATTGGACAGGAAGTAGTGACTCTAACAGTGAGGTTGCCAGGTGCTATTCATTTCCATTGGCAGGTATTTCGTCCCGTAATATTATAGTTATGGGGAAAAAATCAAGTCCCCATGATGTCATTTCCTCTTATTGATACTTTGCAACTGATGTGATCAACATTTCCTGGGCGTGTGTAGCTAACAGTAGGTACCCCTTTGTTAGAAGCTTTGTTAGAAGCTTTGTTAGAAGCTCTGTTACTCAAGTTTGACTTAATCTGAACACAATCTGACAAGTCTCTCACACATAAAATTCAGTTAGTCACTCTCACTTCTTTTGCTGAAAATCAAACAGCTTAACAGGACCATGAACGCTCGTATTGATCACAGGCTCCTGAAAATCAGTTGTTTAAATCCATTTTGTATTTATTCTTGAATTTTCAGACTATCTTCAAACATTTGCTGTGCACTTAGTCCATTTCTTTATCCAGTGTATGTTTAATCCTCTGATATCTTTAATGCACAGTGTAAGGTACTGGGTTCATGTGAGCTCATTCGGTCACCCAGAGGAGCTCATAATTTGAAAAGACTGCAGTTTTTGAAGAACTGTAATTTCTTCCACAAACAACAAAACATCCTGTGTTTTTCTACGTACAAACTGCTAACTCTGTGTTTTAGATCTGCACAAACATGTTCTGAAATGTGATTCTTGTTTTCATTTGTCAGTCCATATTTCAGTCTTTTTGTCAATTCTTCTTGATGCGTTTAAAATCTGAACTTTGGATAAAACCGTATTATTAAAACAAAATCGCAAATGTAATCAATTGCAATGCTCGTCAGAAAAATCGTAATTAGATATTTACCCCAAATCATTCAAACCCTAATGTAGTGCAGGCTCTCCAAGATACTTTTACACAGGGCCTAGAGTTTAGTTTTAGTTTGATGAATACAGTATGACTTTAGTGACATTCTTGAAGTTCCAAAAACATTAAAAAGGGGGTATTATGCAAAATGGACTTTTTGGAGATGTCGTTCCCTCATCAAAAACATGCCTGAAGTGGTTTTATGTCATTCATGCATGTCTGAGGCCCTATTCGAACCCTCCTGACTGTCTGGAAGACTGTCCAGTGCTCAGTCCACAAACCGATGTCACCCATGCTTCCATGTGGCAATTTTCCATAAATATACAAAAGTAGGTCAAAGCACAATACACTACAACTTCACAAACCTGATACAATGTGCTGTAGTTTCATTAGTGGGATGCACAAATAGCAATTTCCAAACAATAAATGGTAACTCACAATCAAAATATCTTAGAAGTTAACAATGAATACCCCACAGAAGTATAATGCCACTCTTTTATCATATGCAAAAGGATTGTTGAATGTCATTCGTTACAATGATCATATATGCTCTGACCCTACCATCCTTCTCGTCCTCTGCCCCTGTCCTCTGCCCCTGTCCTCTGCCCCTGTCCTCTGCCCCTGTCGTCTGCCCCTGTCCTCTGCCCCTGTCCTCTGCCCCTGTCCTCTGCCCCTGTCCCCTCTAGTGCTGAAGAGTAAGAGCGATCAGTTCTTCATCAATGGGAAGCAGGGCATAGACACTCCACGCAGGTTTGAGATCGCAGGCACCACCTTCCACTACAGACGCCCCACCGACGGACCTGAGACCATCGAGGCGCTCGGACCCACCAACATCACCCTGGTCGTCATGGTAACGGCATCAGCTGAGACAATAGTGCTGTTTATTTTACACTAGATTAAATGGGTAAATGATCATAGCATTTACTCAGGTCACAATATAAGCACAAGAACTAGAAAATAATCAAAATAATCATTGTGGTGACTTTAGAAGCAAAAATGAGCCATCTCAGTTCTCTATTAAGTACAAAAAAAGTCAACTTAAAGCCACACTGTGTAATTTTCTGGAGGTGGCACGTCACTAGCAAGATTCCAAGGAAATGGGAAGTTACGAAAATACTTAAAAACATTCTCTGTGGAGATAGATAAGTTTTATCCCAAACTGTGTAATATTTTAGCCAAAGGAACACTTCCAGGGAGACGAGCAGGAGGAGGCCCTCCTACAGGCCAAGAAGTCCAAGTGCCAGATTTGTGGAGATACAAATCGATTCACAGTGAGGGGCACTGGATTCTCAGGCAAAAAAATGTTAAAAGAGAAAAAAAGATTTTATTTTAGCCTTTCTTTTTAGCCTTATTTTAGACCCTTTTGTCACTGTGCCCTTGATCGCCCAGGTGCTGGTGAGGGAGGAGAACCCAGGCATCCACTACAGGTTCAACCCGCCCATAAACCGAGAGCCTCTGAGCGGGCACGCCTGGCACTACACCACCTGGTCCCGCTGCTCTGCCCTGTGCGCTGGAGGTACTAACAATACACATATTTAGGCACTATTACCACTACTACTACTCAAGTATACATGTACAGTTATTTGGCTAAAAACTATACTTAAATCCACTCAAAACATCTTCAGACATCCTTTTAAGCTTTAATAATCAAGCAACACTAATATTTAGCAGTGTAGGCTTAAGTTCCTTCTGTGTTTTTCTTCAGGTTTCCAGCTGCAGCAGGTGGTGTGCAGGAAACAGGCCGATCACTCTGTAGTCAACAACCACTTCTGTGACAAGAAAAGTCGACCCAAAGAGAAGAGAAGGCCCTGCAATACTGAGCCCTGCTCCCCAACGTAAGAACCAACTGCACTCACCTACAGTCCGCTGCTGTGGCCTGGTTATTTACTGCTATAGAGAACTTAAACATTAGGTAAGAAGGTTATTAATATTTACACCTTCGGCTTATTTAAAATTGTATAGTGACAACAGAGCCTAACATTTTTTGTACAGAAGTCATCTGCACATTGTGTTATTTGCAGCACTAGTGATTTTATTTTCTTCTTTTAAAAGTGTGTTTAGCAGTGCAAACTCCAGAGTAGGATGTGCCTTTGTTCAAACTCACCTATGCTCTCTAACGTAGACAGCACCTAGTGGTGAAGTGTGAGAATACAACAAGGGGCTGGGTTGTTCAATCTAATTACAGATGGTAATTTGCCAGTAACAAAAAATGCACGATATGCCCATTTCAAGATAAGTTTATTTAAAAGTTATGAATGAGACATGGTGTAACCTGCTCTGTTGTGTTGTGTGTAGCTGGTGGACAGGTGAGTGGTCCGAATGCAGTCGCAGTTGTAACGGGGGCCTGAGGTCTCGGGGGGTCCTGTGTAAAAGGAGGATTTCTGCGTCTGAAGAAAAGATTCTGGACGACTCGGCCTGTACACCCCCACGCCCCCCCCTCACCGAGCCCTGCAACAATCACAGCTGCCCCCCCGAGTGGCTGGCCCTGGACTGGTCTGAGGTAAACACATAACCATGGACTTACCTGACCATAAACTAACTGTGGACTAAAGCTTTGTCCTTGTTTAGTTGTAGAATTTAAAAGTTTAAAGGTAGAATTGCACAAAATGATCTCTTTAAGCCATGTTATAATGTTGTTACCTCCTCACAAACATACCTGGAGTTGAGTTTTGTTTCATTCACACATGTTTGAGTATGCCTTTTTATTCTGTTTACATCTCCAAACCTTAAAATGCTCTGGTGCACCTTATGATGTAATGCAGTGGTAGTTTTCAACTTAATAGCTACCTTTTACTTTTTGTTCATCAGAGATTGGAAATTCCAGGTTTAAAATAGCCCAAATGATTCTAGTAAAAGTGTATGGAGTTTAAAAACACATTGGAGCACTTCCTGTATTTCCACATAACATCACAAATTGGAACAGAGTGTTTTCTGTTTGAGAGAAGAACTCAGCCTGAATATGCAGGATTTGTGTGTTAAACATGTGTGAATGAAACAAAACACAACTCCAGGTATGTTTTTGATGAGGAACTGTTCTATGAGAGATTTATATCCAAAGAAATATGAAATAATAAAATCCTTTTAACTGTCAGCAATGACATTTTTAGGGTTGAATAACGGCACCACTTTATGAAGCTACTGTGAAAACTGACAGTGAAGACACTGAACTTTGTGCCAGTTTTTGTTTCATGTGGACAAGCCCAGTAATTACAAAGATATGAACCATAAACCAGGTCAACAGATCATCTGCAATCTGACAGTTAAACAGCAACTTCCACCACAGATTTTCTGTCCTCCAGCTCAATATTAAACTAAAGGGGTTATAAACTGTCTGTTGTCATGCTGTCATTGTCTCTTTGATCACTTCGCTGTTCTTTATAGATCTAAAGTGTCACTGTTGTACTAAAATGTTGCATTGAAAATAAATGTAGTTAATACGATTAACTGAGATTCAGGAGCAGGACCACGCCTCAGCCGCCCTCTCCTCTCACCAGCGAACCACAACTCACCTCGACCACGCCTCGAATTTCCCAGAAGCCTATATGTAGCAGCCTTTCCCATCATCCCACTTTGTCTCAGTTAACTCGACCCCACCCTCCCATCCCCTATTTTGTCTTTCAGTCATAAGACCCCTACAAGGGGGGTCCTGTTCCGGCTTGGCCAATTGTAGATTGAGACGGAGCCCCCACCCATAGTCTCAACCCAGCCACCTCTACCTCGCTTCGAACATTATCAATAAACTTCTTCACACTATGTCGTTGTTGGCGTGGTCCTAGCTAGTGAATGTCACTTTCTCAACCAGTGCATTTGATAAACAGATGTAAGCGATCACACATTTTGTACATTCTGCTCAATTCTGAAAAATCAGCAGGGATTTTATCAATTTAGCTCTTCAGTTTGTGTTTGTGTCCAGATGAAGCAACAGTTTTCTTTCAGTTTTCAGTTCAAAATCAAAACACAGCCCAGGAGAAAATAAAATATCAGTTTGAACTAAGGCAGGACAGAGAGATATCAATGACCTGAGTGACCTGCTTCAATCAAAAACTCACATGTGGCTAGTTTTAATCCCAATCATAACAAGTTAAAGATGGACTGTGTAGCTTTTCATGTAGAGCGTCCGTCACCTGTCGGTCTCCATAGAACTGTTATTGTTTTTAGGGTTATCAAAAGTCTTGAAAATCAGATACTAATCAATGCTAAAACTAGTATCACTCCTATAATAAATAATAATAATAAATCTTTATTTATAAAGCAAGAACAAGGTTTATAAAGTAATGTACAAGCAGCAATGAACAATACAAAAAGCATAAAAATAGCATACAGAAAGCACAAAAACAGACAATGATGCAAACAATTCAATGAATTGTAATAAATAAATAAAAATAAAATAGAATAAAAATAAATAAGGAATAAAATCAAGCTAAAACCAGTTAAATTAAGGCCAAACAATAAAAAGGATTCTTAAGAAGTGATTTAAAAGATGATACTGATGGTACGAGCCTGATCTCCTCAGGCAGGTCGTTCCAAAGCCAATGCATCCGGACTGAAAAGGCAAAATCACCTTCGTCCGGAACCTGGACTTTGGAACAGTCACAGGGACCTGCCTGAGGATCTGCGGCTGTGGGAGGCTCGTACAGGGTTAAAAGTTCTGAAATGTGACTCGGTGCAAGACCTAAACAAGCTTTAAATATGATCAGTAAAATCAATTCTAAAACCCAGAGGCAGCAAGTGAAGGGAAATAAAACAGGGTCATGTGTTGATGTCTGTTAAACCCAGTGAGGAGCCAAGCTGCTGCATTCTGAACCAGTCGGAGGCAAGAGATGGATTTGTAGTCGAGGTAGGAGAGGAGGGAGATGCAGTAGTCTAGACTGGAGAAGATGAGCGCGTGGATGACTTTTTCAAGATCAGGGCAGGAGAGGATAGTTTTGATTTTGCTAAAACTATCTACTCATTTGAGTTGTATCTATACTAAAAAGCCACATTCATAGGACAGAAATGAACCTTTCCTGAATAGCTTTAGAATGATCTTGGGCTGTATCAGAACAAATATACAAAGAGCACATAGACTAGTATAAACCCATGGACCACTATGAACCTACCTGGACCACTGAGGGATTATACAGATATAAGACCATATTGAAAATCACATTTTGTAAAGAAAGAGTGTTTTGTTTTTTGAGTATTGAGTCTTCTCCTTAATACTGAAAATATTAATAGAAATGTTTGAAATTTTAGTATCGTAACAACACTACTATGTACCTTTTCATGTAGAGGGTCCATCACCGGCTTGTCTCCATGGAGATGCTACTGTTTTGCCCTGAAACTTCTACTATATGACATTACACTTTTCTATCTCCATGGAAACGAGCAGGGGACGTCGCATCTGTGAATCTGCTCACCTGTAACTGAAAAAATGCAAGATAGAACTTTATTTAAAGCCTTACTGTTGAACTTTCCAGGCACGATGCAAACATCTTCATGGCGACAAGCAGGTGGATAAAAAAGTCCAGTGAGGGGGTTAAAGGTGAACTGTGTAACTTTTCTGGTGGAAATAATGTAATGTTCCACAGTAGCATTAAGCATTTCTATCTTGCGTTTATTCAATTACAGGTGTTTTTATTGCTCACAAAAACATGAACCGGGTCGCCTCTCCGTAGATCTGACGTGTAACTTGGTTTAGCGGTGTCACTTTTTTTGTCTCCATGGAGATAGGTTCATTTAATGCAATACTGTGGAGCATTCTGGATAAAGCAACAACAACTCTATGGAGGTAACAGACCCTGCAAAAAGAAAAGTTACACGGTGCACCTTTAAGATAGCAATTAAGATGTCTTTTTATAGATCTACGCAGACCCCCATACTTAAAAGTTACATAGTGCAGCTTTACATCTAAGAGAACCTTGAAGCTTCCTACACTCTGCTGCCCTCTACAGTCTTTTGTTCACATTGCCTCCCTGACCTCTCTGACCCTGTGTAATGTCGTACTTTTTCTTCTTTCTGTCTCTGTCCATCCGTGCCCCGGTCTGCAGTGCACTCCCAGCTGTGGTCCCGGGTACAGACACCGGGTGGTGCTGTGTAAGAACGGGGAGAGTGGAGACACGCTCCCGGAGTTTCAGTGCCCCAAACAGGGACGCCCCACCTCTAGGGTGCGCTGTAACCTGCAGCGGTGCCCACCCCCACAGTGGATCACCGGGCCCTGGGGAGAGGTCAGGCTCTTATGTTTTCTTATTATGTATTTTTAGATTTGATGCAACAGTCATTCTCCATTCACATTTGGTCTTGTCATCTGGGCTTCGTTACTAAGTTGGACAGTTAATTAAACTTAAATGATTGTATATTCTCATTATATTACATATAGGGATGGTTAGTGAGGAGTAGTAGTAGCAGCAGTAGTAGTAGTATTAGAATTAGCAGCAGTAGTAGTAGTAGTAGTAGTAGTAGTAGTAGTAGTAGTAGTAGCAGTAGCAGTAGCAGTAGCAGTAGCAGTAACAGTGGCAGTAGCAGTAGCAGTAGTCATAGTAGTATTAGTATTAGTATAGTATTAGAAGTAGTAGTCATAGTAGTATTAGAAGTGGCATTAGTATTAGAAGTAGTAGTAGCAGTAGCAGTAGTATTACAATTACCAGCAGTATCAGTAGTAGTAGTCGCAATAGTATTAGAAGTAGCAGTAGTATTAGCAGCAGCAGCAGCAGCGGCAGTAGGACTGGCATTAGTAGTCGTAGTAGTCGTAGTTGTAGAAGTAGTAATCTTAGTGGTATTAGAAGTTGTAGTTGTAGTACGATTAGAAGTAGTGGTAGTGGTAGTAGTAGTAGTAGTAATTAGTAGTTGTTAATAGTAGTTAGTAGTTGGTAGTAGTAGTTAGCAGTTGGTAGTAATTAGTAGTAGTTGGTAGTAGTAGTAGTTAGTAGTTGTTAGTAGTAGTTAGTAGTAGTAGTAAATAGTAATAGTTATAGTAAAAACGCCCAGTTAAAACCGTTCATTTTCTTTTCTTGGACTGTGTCTTTGTTCACATGCCACCGTAGTATAGTCATAGTCTGATTTTTAGCTGATTTGTGGACCTTGAAGATAATTTAAGTGACATTCAAACCGCAGAGACTTGTGTGAGTAATTATGGGACCATGATCATAAAGAAAACAGATGATTTCCTGTCATTTTAATAATCTCATAACTCCAGAAATCTGATAATGATCACATTTTGAAGTGTGCATGAAACCACAGCCATTGTCTAACACATCACCACTCTCTGAACATGTGACTCTCTTTAGGAAATCCAACTTTCTCGATGATAAAGGAAAGTTCATCACAAACAGTTCTTATATAAATTAGTGCAGAATATAGACTGAATTGACATCACTTAAAGGATATCTGATATTTCACAGAATTTACTCTTGTGAGCATTAATCCGTGTTCTAATTGCTACCTCTTCAAAAACATATTCCGTGTTGTGTTTTGTTTCATTCACACATGTTTGAGTAATCCTTTATTAGTCTGTCTACATTTCCAAAGCTCAAAATGCTCTGGTCCACCTTGTGATGTCATGAAGCAATAGTTTCCTAGTTAACTGAGATTGGCAATTCCAGCTCTGAAATGATGAAAATTATTCTAATTAAATTGAATGTAGTTTGAAAACTCTATGGAGCACTTCCTGTATTACCACATGACATCACAAGGTGGAACAGCATGTTTTCTGTTTGAGAGAAGAACTCAACCTAAATATGCAGGTGTTTTTGTGTCAGAGGTGTGGATTTGCAAGTCGTGATTTGGACTTGAGTCAGACTTGAGTTATTATTTTTAGGATTTCAAACTTGACTTGATAAAATAGACTTTGGACTCGACCTGGACTTGAAGGTCAACGACTTGGGACTTGATTAGGACTTGAGACCTGTGACTTGAGAAGACTTGATGCTTTTAAAAAATATGTTTTTTTTTTTAAATACTTTTCTCTTTACAGTTGATACATGCAATGCTTAACAAACAAACTGGAACATGTCCCTCCCACTTCTCTGTTTCTTACTTTGGATGTAACTGAAGTACTGTGATGTAGCAGTACAAAAGACTAAAACGAAACTACAAAGAACATGATGCTTCCATTTCAGTGTAGACTACATGACAAAATAATTGTTATTAACCACCTTTAAGTCTTGTTTTTTTTTTACTCTGACCATAATGATTTGCACACATTAAAAGAGGGTTTTTTTCTTCTTCCCACTCTTTTTTGGGCAGATTTTTTGTTGTGATTATTTTCATTGGTATTATGATTTCAATTATGTTATAGGTTCCATTGTATAAGAATGTAAATCTTTACTTGTCCAAAATAAATACATAAAATTAAATAAAAAAATTAATAAAATAAAAATCTTGCCAACACATTTAAAAAAGAAAAAAATACATTTCTACAACTCATATATAAATATGACTTATGATCATGACTTTGCACCATTTACTTAAAAAATTCATATGAATTGCAAAAATCTAGGTACTTTGGTTTAAAGACTTTAAACGACTTGAAGCTCAAAGCAAACGATTTGAACTTGACTTGGATTTATGAGCCAGTGACTCGAGACTCATTTGGACTTGCCTGTATTTGACTTGGGACTTGACTCGGACTTGAGGCCAAAGACTTGAGACTTAGTTGAGACTTGCAAAACAACAAATTGGTCCCACCTCTGGTTTGTGTAAATGAAACAAAACACAACTCCACGTATATTTTTGACAAAGAAATAACATTATAACCAGAAAACAGCGGAACATGGACCCTTACAGTAGCATGATGTTGTTCCTTGTGTTCCTGTAGTGCTCTGCGAAGTGCGGTCTGGGGCAGGAGATGCGCTCGGTGCAGTGTCTCTCTCATACGGGGCTCCCCTCGCATGAGTGTCTGGAGCTGCAGCGTCCGGCCTCGATGCAGCAGTGCAGGAAGCAAGTGTGACCTCAGCCTGCCCATCACTGCAGAGGAGAACCCCGAAGGTAAACACTGACTAACAATGCATCATAATAATACAGTAGGGATCAATCCTGGACAACTGAGGAATTACACAGACTTCTAATAATGCAGTGTTCAACATTTTTTCACTCGCAACTATAGACTGTATATGTATGTAAACGGACTTAGCTAACTGCGTCCAAATTGGAAGTGGTCATGGGGGCTCTTCCAGCTCCACTGACTCTCGTTCTAATTGACAACATTGAAAAATTCTTTCTGTAACTGCTGCAGTGAGCCTCGTCATTTTGGTCTTAAATTATTGTATTAACCCGCTCTACATGGTCCTGGTGTTTTTATTAATTTATTTTATATTTTCCATAAATCAATCCCTATTCCTAATATGGAACTGCCTCTAAACTGCCCCGTAAGTGCCAGCCTCTTGAGCTTCATTTGACTGGGGCTGAACGCTATGGGTGACATCACACTCCGTTAGTCCACTTCTTTATACAGTCTATGGTTGCAACACACTTTTGCTGTTAAAAAATTTAGCAAATGACACCAATTTGAACAAAAAAAAAGTGTAAATAATATCAATATTACTCTGTCTAGAACTAGAGAATTTGCCATAGTGGTCATTTTGTGTTTTCTTTTGGTTCAAAAGTTTCCTCAAGACACTCCCAAGGCCTAATTGTTACATTAAATATTTGAGAAATAGTTGTCTCAGATTGGATATTTGAGCAAAAATGTGTAAATTATTTCATTGTCACTGTGTCTAGAACTAAAGAACTTGCCATAGTGGTCATTTTGTGTTTTCTTTTGGTTCAGAAGTTTGCTCAAGACACTCCAAATGTCTAATTTGTAGGGGTGTAACGATATCCAAGTCTCACGATACGATATCGTCATGGTATGAACCTCACGGTACAATATTTATTGCGATATCGTGGGAAAGCTCACAATATAATGGGGAGGCTCACGATTAGGGATGTAACAATATTCAGATCTCTTTGTACTATATTTTCCTGATAAACATTTCACAGTACGATATTTATTGTGATATTTTGTGGAGGCAAACAAACTGTTAATATGCGACTTTTCCCTCTTAAAATGCCTTGACAAGACTTAATCTAAGACTTAAAAGTGCTTAGAACTGTTATTTCTTCTTGTAGTTTACACTGAAATGGAGCAAAGGATCATGGTGTATGTAGTTCCTTCTGTCTTTTTTTAGCTATTGCTGCACCATAACTCTTCATTTAAGCAAAGAGACTTGTAATTCGATATATTGTGATGGTCCACGATATTATTGTGAAAACTTTGATGATACGATATCATGATATTTCGCTTATTGTTACATCCCTACTAATTATTACATTCAATATTTGAGATATAGTCGTCTCAGATTGGATATTTGACATTTAATCCCTCAAAGGCCAGTAGTGTTTCCCTGCAATGTAAAATTGTGCTGTCAGTAAATGTTGAACTGTACCATAAAAATAAAAGTTATAGTCTTGTTAATTTTTAGACCCTAGCAGGGATTTATGTAGACACCAAAGTATTTCATAGTTCATTATTCATTCAGTACTTACTTGGTAGTGGTAAGATACTATTGTAACTATATTGCCCAACCAATATATCTGTCTGTAGTTATGACAAGAAGTGAATAAACCCTTTAAAAACCCTTAAAACTGACACTTTTATTGGCAAGGCAACATCACAGAAAGAGAAACAGACAAATAAGTTGATAAAAGCATAGTAAAAAAAAAAAATTTAGCTGAAAACATGATTAAGTTTTCTTTCTCTGTAGTTCCCCCTGTTTTTTTTTGTTTTTTTTTGTTTTTTTTAGCTATTGCTGCACCATAACTCTTATTTTAAGCAAAGAGACTCTTATTATTCGATATATTGTGATGGTCCACGATATTGTGAGAACTTTGATGATATCACAATGTTTCGGTTATTGTTACATCCCTACTAATTATTACATTAAATATTTGAGAAATAGTCGTCTCAGATTGGATATTTGACATTTAATCCCTCAAAGCCCAAAACACCCAGAGTATTTGATAGTTCATTATTCATTCACTACATACTTGGTAGTGGTAAAATACTATTGTAAATTGACCAACCAATATATCTGTCAGTAGTTATGACCTGAAGTAAATAAAACCTTTAAAAATCCTTAAAACTGATACGTTTATTGACAAGGAACAGACAAATAAGTCAATAAAAACATGATTCAGTTTTCGTCTGTGGTGGAACGTGATGTTACAATGATGTGGTATAATCTTTTGGCTTGACTAATAACTGAATAAAACCTTTAAACTGCTTCTGCTTTTTTCTTTCAGAGTGTAAAGATGTGAACACAGTGGCGTACTGCCCCCTGGTGCTCAGGTTCAAGTTCTGCAGCCGGCCTTACTTCAGACAGATGTGCTGTAAAACATGTCAGGGCCACTAACCTGAGACTCACTTCACCGGGGGAGTTCTGCCTGAGGGGACGTGGTCAGCGGGACAATAGGACTTCACCCAGGCCGTCCACAGACAGCAGGTGGACAGAGCCTGAAGAGCTGCTATATTTAGGATTAGTGAAAATATGAAATAATGACATTTTCTGTAGTAATCGTTGGTGCTACTATTTTATTTTGACTTTTAATATTTGGTGTTTATCGTTTAGTTATCAAATCTTTTTCACAATATCAGTGGATGTGGTGTTGTATGAAGGGTTAGATGTTACTTGATCACTTTTATACCATAGTTTAAGGTTGTATTTACCAGTTCTCATGTTATTTAGCTGAAGCCGTTTTGCACAAGTGTACCCTGTCAGAGGAATACGTGTTAGTATTTGGTTTTGTTTTTCAGTTCGATCTCATGTCACAGACTCAGCCGTGTTCAGCATCTCTACAGTCAATGTTCTGTTTTGTTACTTTACATTCAGTTGTGTTAGTGTGGGCTTTTCTCTCAGTCTCTCATGATTTTTGGTCACACTGAGTTCACGAAATCTGGTTCAGTTTCACATATCACATAAAGTGTATTTGATCGTATTAACACTGAGCAGCTCCTAGTCGTATTTGGAATCTATATTTTTATTCTACTATGATTCAACTGTCAATCTTTTACACTTCCTTAGCCTCTGATCCTAAATATTTTTTGATTGAGAGTCCGCCACCTGCTTGTGTCTATGGATACATCATTGGTTTGCCTGGAATGTTCCACAATATGACATTAAACAGCTCCACTTTACATTTACAGGTGGTTTTATAGCTCAAAAATACCTAGAAAAACAAACATTCTGACTGTGAGTGGGGTCGTCTCTCCACAGATCTGACCTGTAACTTGGTTTGGTTTGGTCTCCATGAAGATAGAAAGGTTTAATGCCATACTGTGAAACATTCCAGACAAAGCAATTACATCTGATGGACCCTCCACTAGAAAAGTTTCACAATGCACCTTTAACAAACATGTGAGTCTGGTCACCGAACCGGAATCTGCCAGTGTTCAGATGGGCTTGATTGACAGGTGGATTAGCCAATCAGGGACAAGCATGGTCTGTCCATTTCAAAACAAATATCGCTGCTTATGAGGGGAAAAAAGTAAAGAAAAAAATATCACGGGAGACTGAAAAACAATGCGGATTTGTATTTAATCAATGAGCTGTCTGCTTGTCGCCATGGTGATTTTATTGCTTTTGTCTGGGATGTTTCACAGTAAGACATTAAGGTTATCTACAGTATCTCCATAGAGATCAATTATACTTATCTATCTCCATGGAAACCAGTAGGTGACACCACTAGGTCTAGCTACAGGTCAGATCTGTGGAGAACCGAGCCCCCACACAGTGAAGAATCTGAATAATTAAAACACCTAATTGAAACAATACAACTGAATAAATGCAAAGTAGATAGCTACTTTTTATTGTGGAACATTCCAGGTAATGCAGTAACTCCAATCTCCACGGAGACAAGCAGGTGGTACATGCCCCACAGGAAAGGTTACATAATGAGCAAAACACTAAACTGTTAATCTGAGGTTAGAGAAGTTTGATTTTGTTTGTAAATGATAAGCAGGCTCCTTCTTTTCACATGCGTCACTGAGAAAAACAAATCCGATTGGACGATCTCTTTTGGTTCTGGCTCAAGATGTGATAAAGGACGTAAGACTGATCTTTAAAAAAATAAAAAAATACAGAGATTTAAGGCAGAACTCCCCATTTTCAGCCTTAAAACTGTTTTTTTATCAACACGTTAAATTTACAGAAAAAGAAAGAAAATTAATGTCACAATACAAACAAATAAATCGATAAAAACAAGCAGCCATGATTAAATTAATTTTAAAAGAGAATAAAAACCTTGTGTCATACAGAGTTAAAAAGAGCAATTTTGAGTCTGGATTTAAACATTGTCAGAGCAGGGTCCTGTCTTACATCTTAAGACTATTCCAGATTTTGTAGCTGCATATTTCTTCCGTATACCTTACAATATTTCTCTGCATTATAAGAAACAGCTTTCCACATCATGTTCCACTCATTGCTCTCAATAGGTCACATTCAAAACATATTATATTCACAAATTGGCTCTACAAATCCTCTCAACTGACAACAACTGTGTGGCTGTGTAATACCACCACTTTTTAATACTATGTAAAAATATTTCAACTTCATTCGAGCTAACAGACTTTGAACTTTGTGCCAGTTTTTGTCCAATAATTACACACATGAACCATAAACCAGGTTAAAACTTCTCCAATCTGAAAATTCGCAGGTTAATTCTACTGTTAATTCTACTGTTTTAGGCCAATTTAAAATTCTTAGTACTTTGCAGCTGATATCAAAGCTGGGGCTGTGATGCTAACTAGAGGCTCTGCTCTGTCTGAAGCTCTGTTACTCAAATTAGACTTTAATCTGAGCTCTGTTTTAACAAAGTCTGACCAGAAAAATAAACATGAACGCTCATATTATTATATTAACAGACTCCTGAAAATGACTAGTTTAAATCCATTTCCTGTTTTTTCTTGCATTTTCAGACAAATCTAAAAACTTTTTGGGGTAATTCTTGCTGTCACCATGGCAACTGATTAACATTCCGCCATAGAAGCACATAGACATTGCTGGGTTTCAGATGACACCACAGCATTCAATATAATAGGCCAATTATTTTTAATACAAAGTAAAGTAAATACAGTTCAAATGTAGGTTTTTGTTGTACATTAAAGATTCATAAATAAACAAAATACAATGTTTTTATAGGGAAATCTAAAATCTTATATCCGAAAACCACCAATAAATACATCCCCAACATGACGTCACTGCAAAATATCATGATTATAAATACATTTGTCATTCAGTCTATTAGTGCTTAAACTGTCTTGTACTATTAAACAGGAAGTAGGTCACATGCTTTACACATCTCATTCATAATGTTCTCTGTCTGAAGTACTGTTACACACTGTATTTTTAGATTTGCAGTGTTGGCAGTACAGTAGTTTCAGTCATGTCAGTTGGACTCGTCATAAACCGTAAGCTGCTCTGTGCGTTTCCACACACCATTTCCTTGTTTTTCTTTTGGGGAAATATCTATAATAAATGTGTGTTTTGTGGTGCTTTGGTGTAAAGACGCACTACGTAACATTTCGGGTGGAGGTTTGGCCGTCTGCTTGTCGCCGTGGAGATTTTATTGCTTTTGTCTGGGATGTTCCACAGTAAGACATTAAGATTATCTACACTACAGTGTCTTCATGGAGACCAAATCTATCTCCATGGAAACCAACAGTATGACGTTATACTAGTCTATCTCCATGGAAACCAACAGTATGACATTATACTTAAATATCTCCATGGAAACCAACAGTGTGACGTTATACTAGTCTATCTCCATGGAAACCAACAGTATGACGTCATACTTATCTATCTCCATGGAGAGCAGTAGGTGACGCCACTAGGTCAAGCTACAGGTCAGATCTGTGGAGAGGCGAGCTCCCACACAGTGAAGAATACAAACTTTTCAATGTATATAAGTAATTAAAACACTTAATTAGAACATTACAACTGAATAAATGCAAAATACATAGCTACTTTTAACATTTCAGGTAAAGCAGTAACATCTCCATGGAGACGAGCAGGCGGCAGACTCCCCACAGGAAAAGTTACATAGTGTAGCTTTAAATGGTGCTATTTTGTTATGTTGTACTGTGTTTCTGTTTGGTGGTTTGTCAGACTTGCCTTACGCTGTTTTGTTTGTGGTGAGCAAATATTATGACATATTTTACAATCTATAGTCAAGATTATTATTATTAAATCTTCACGTGGCTGGTCATAACTGAAACAACTGAGTAACAGGAAGTAGGCACTCTTTTTTTTTTTTTTTTTGTTAAATCAATGCATTTTCCATCTGTCAAACACCTATCCAGGACCTGTACTGTATGTTGTCTAATATTGAATGAACCCATGTACATCTCTGTTAAAGATATTATTGACAATTAAATTATCCATTTTTGTTTCTATTGCTGTTGCATTCATTTTAGATGTAACTAAAACTGGTGCTCGTCCAGACAGAGGAAATGAAATCAGCGGAGATCTATTTATAAAAATGGAACGTTGTGGAAATTTTGTCAAAGTCTTGAGTCTTATATCTTTAGTAGGCATGCAGATTATTTTTAGAATTTTCGGTGAAGGTTAAATATACTTCTCGTCTCGTCTTTAGTTTTTTTGATTACTGTGGGGTTTTTTTTCACATTCACAGAATTTTTACAAAAATTCACAGAGAATTGGGATCGACAAAGCTGATGTCATCAGTATTCCCTGGGAGTGTGAGGTTAACTGGAAGCACTGCTTTGTTAGAAGCTCTGATACTCGAGTTGCGCTTAATTTTATTTTACCACAGTCTGAAATTTGACCAGGATGTCAGATATAAATAAATACATTTAAACACAAATTTACCACATGAGCTACCCAAGTCTCCCCACTTTGTCTGTTGAGATACATTTAAAGGGCCTACCTATATTGTCATAGTTTCTGACTACTGTCATTTCCTCATCACAAACAGACTTGGAGTTGTGTTTTGTTTCATTCACACGTTTAACACACAAACTCTGCACATTGGCTGAGTTCTTCTCTCAGTGCTACATTCCACCTTATGATGTCATAGGGTAATACAGGAAGTGCTTCTCTGTGTTTTTAAACACACCTGGTAGCAGATACATAGAGTAGACTGATCTACATCTCCAATGCTCCAAATGCTCTGTTCCACCTTGTGATGTCATGAAGTTTTAAAGTTATCAGCTACCTTTCACCTTTTGTTCCTTTTAGGCACTTCCAGATCTGAAATCATTTAAATCACAGGTTTTCAAATTGGTTGAATGTGAGCCTCCCCTTAGAGTAGGTAAAGAGAGCTGGAAAAAATCGAAATCTGCCTGCCCCCCTCCACACAGGCCTTTGAAATGCATCTTTTGTGTTCCTGGCAATGATGCGTTTCAATAACAACTGATCATATACATTTTATAATACAGTATTGTATTTTTATGTTTTTTTTAAAAAGTGCATTCATAAACTATTTTTCCAACAGCAAATCATTTCCAACTTCATGCAGGCCTAATTGAGGTGACTTTTAACATCACTGAATATCACCAGCACTAAACCAGGACTAAACCAGGTCTAAACCACGAATAAACCAGGTCTAAACCACGAATAAACCAGGTCTAAACCAGGTTTAAACAAGGACTAATCTTGGACTTGAGAGAGCAATAGGGAGAACCCCGAGCCCGAAGAGCAAGGTGTCCGCAAAGCGTGATCGGGCAATAGCTGAACTGAGCTCGGTGGGGTGCGGAGCTCTGAGCCGGTCCTTTTGCCTGCAATAGTCTACACGGGTGCACCCGACACTCAGTCCTGGTTTAGTCCTGGTTTAGTCTAATTTTAGTCCTAGTTCAGTCCTGATTCACTGATCTACATGATTCTAGTGAAGGTGTGTGGAGTTTAAAAACACATAATCCTTCATGTATTACCACATGACATCACAAGGTGGAACAAAGTGTTTGAGAGAAGAACTCAACCTAAATTTGCAGATTTGTGTTAAACATGTGTGATTGAAACAAAACACAACCACCCCGATACAGTTTGTGAAGAGGAAACAACATTATAACAACATTTTTTAAAAACAGCATAACATGGCCCCTTTAAGACTGCATTTAATCATATTTTTAATCTCTGTAGACCTGATTGCAAAACACAGCCTCTCCTTCCTTCCTCAGTGAGTTTCAGTACCTTTGCATGAACTTTACTGTTATGGGCGTATGGAGCAGCACCTTAGTAACCACAGCCAGGGTGGAGTCGGCTTAAACGCTCCAACACATCATTTAGCAACAGACAACTGCTAATTGTCACTTTAGCTCTGTGTCAACACTTAGTTCATAACACAAATCCAGTATAGCGGTTCGAGCTCCATAAGCAGAATCTTGGACATGTCCTGAAAGCAGAAGTTGCATTGTGTTTCTTGGTACGTACTTAGCATGGTAGTTTTTTTGTTTTGTTTTGTTTAGTTTTTTTCTCTTTGTGTTTGAATAGTTCTCTTTTTGGTCCGACTCTGTTGTGTGTTTGAGGAAGTGCTCTGAGCAGAAGTGTCTTTGGGTCTGCTGTAGGTGAGAGGAGGCTGCTGTTCCTGCTGCTGCTGCTGCTCTAAAGGAGATCTCATCATCATAATGCCGAAAGTGTGAGAAGCAACTGGATTTTGGACATTTTCTGGGTCGAAGAAGAGGAAATAACTCCACTTTGAACCATGGTATGAGACAAAACACACTTGATTTGCAATTAACACTTAATAATGTTGATATTCAATGTCTGTCTTCTACCAGGTTCAATTTTATGAGTTTATTTTTCCCATGTGGAATTTACTAATATATATTTTTTTAAATTATTTTCATTAGGCATTATTTAGTTGTCACCAGCCATTTCAGTCACTGCAGCTACTACTACAACTACTACTACTGTACTACTACTAATTCCAAAGCTAAAAAGCTGCTAGTACTACTTCACAACTACTACAATTACTAGACTATACTGTGCCTTCTACTACTGCTACTACTTCATGGACTACTACTAGGTGTCACTACTACTGCTGATATTACTACATATGTGTGACCCACTTGTGTGCCCACGTCCACAAACCTGGGAACTTGTTCTTAAAACCTTCACATTATGTGTTAGTTATGGTACAGACAGCATACATGTATCATCTCAAAATGCAGTCTAGAAGTAGTAGTAGTAGTGGTAGTAGTAGTAGTAGTAGTAGCAGTAGGAGTAGTAGGAGTAGTAGTAGAAGCTGCATTTGTTCATTTGGGACCTTTCCGCAGACACACACACGTTTGAGTAATCCTTTATTATTAGTCTGTCTACATCTTCAGAGTTCAAAATGCCCTGTTCCACCTTGTGATGTCATGAAGTGGTAGTTTTCAAATGAACAGCTCCTTTTACCTTCAGTTCAGAGAGATTGGTAGTAGTAGTACTGCTAGTAGTAGTAGCAGTAGCAGTAGCAGTAGTATTAGCAGTAGTAGTAGTAGTACTAGTAGTATATGTGTATTTGTCATGTGTGTATGTGAATTGTCTCCTGTATTTGCCCTTATATGGGAGGCGGTGTATATTTAAATGTGAAGTAGTAGCAGTAGTAGCAGTAGCAGCAGTAGTAGAAGTAGTAGTATTAGCAGTAGTAGTAGTAGTACTAGTAGTATATGTGTATTTGTCTTGTGTGTATGTGAATAGTCTCCTGTATTTGCCCTTATATGGGAGGCGGTGTATATTTAAATGTGAAGTAGTAGCAGTAGTAGCAGTAGCAGCAGTAGTAGAAGTAGTAGTATTAGCAGTAGTAGTAGTAGTACTAGTAGTATATGTGTATTTGTCTTGTGTGTATGTGAATAGTCTCCTGTATTTGCCCTTATATGTATATTTAAATGTGAATGTGGGTTTGTCATAGATCGAGCTCCCACAAACTCACAAAACTGTTTCCTCTTTTGAGCTATTGTCCAACCAACAACCAAAGTGTGTCAAGAAACAAGTGTTCTGATAATTCTGTTAATCATGTGGACAAATATGTCACCAAGACTACCACTACTACTACTAATACTACTACTACTAATGTACTACTACTACTACTACTACTAATGCTACTGTTATTACTACTATTACTACTGCTACTACCACTACTACTACTACTAATGCTACTGTTATTACTACTATAACTACTACTACTACCACTACTACTAAGTCTACTGTTGTTGCTATTACTACTACTACTACTACTACTTCTTCTACTACTACTGCTACTGCTACTGCTGCTACTGCTACTACTGCTACTACTGCTACTGCTATTGCTAATACTACTGCCACTACCAATACCACTACTACTACTAATGCTACTACTATTACTGCCATTACATCCCATGGATTGTACAAAAAGTGAGACTGAAAAACTGAAAAACTACTACTACTAATGCTACTGCTTTTACTATTACTACTTTACTACTACTACTACCACTACTACTAATTCTACTGCTGTTGCTACTACTACTTCTACTACTACTACTACTAGTACTACTACTACTACTAATGTTACTGCCATTACTACTACTACTACTACTACTACTACTACTATCGCTACTAATACTACTGCTACTACTACTGCAACTATTACTAGCAATACTGCCACTACCACTACTACTCCTACTACTACTACTACTGATGCTGCTACTAGTACAACCACTACACCCCATGGCCTGTACAAAAAGTGAGACTGAAAGTGTAAAATTATATTATGCTGTTGCAGTTTTAATCTATGAGTTTAAAGCTACAGTATGTAACTTTCTGGAAGCGGCAAGTCTCCTGTGTGACTCCATGGAAACAGAAAGTTAAAACCACACTGTGGAACATTCTCCACAGAGATAGATGTGGTTTTTGCCATAATGTGGAATAGTATGTATATAATAGCCAAAGGAACTAAATTACCATAGAAACAAGGCCTACACTGAGCCAAATAAGAGCCAGGTTTGTGGAGAAGCAAGCCCAACAGTAATAAGGGTTTTCAATGCAATAAAAAATCTATAATGAAAAAACTTACAGCTAAAAAATTACATATTGTGGCTTTACAGGTGAACTGTTAAACTTTCATCAAATGCTCCATGGAGATGTTATTGCTTTGTTTGGAATGTTTCATAGTATGGCATTAAACTTTTCTATCTTCATGGACACTAAACCAAAGTTACAGGTCAGATCTGTGGAGAGGCGACTCTGCTTAGAGTCAGAATGCCAATTTTTCTAGGTATTTTTGCGCATTAAAACCACCTGTAATTGAATAAATGTAAAGTAAAGCTGTTTAATGTTATACTGCGGAACATTCCAGGCAGAGCAATGACATCTCTGTAGAAACAAGCAGGTTACACAAAAGTTACACAGTGCACCTTTAAATTTCCAACACATATTTGAAGTTTTCACCCTACACTTTACTTTACCCGGCAACCGAACTTAAAAACACATTTCGAAACTTGAAAACGAAGCACCAAACATACATATATAATTTTTTTCTTTGGCTGCTTTTCCTGTTTGTATCTGTGCAGTGCTAAATCAAATACAAAGTACATATGTGTGTGTGTGTGTGTGTGTGTGTGTGTGTGTATGTGTGAAGGGAGGTCTGAGTATTAGCAGGAAACAGGCTGTATATGTGAAACACTGCAGGTTTCACAATGGCTACAGTGAGGTGACTGAGGAGGAAGTGGACCATTCTGTGTCAACACTTCCCCATCTCTCACCGTGCATCATCTGAGCCTGGATCACGCTGATGTCCAAGCATTTTCTATACTCAGAGTCATATACTGAAACATATATGAGGCTACAGGGTTACAACATCGTCAGTGAATATTCAAATTAGAGTTTTATTTTGCAAAAGTGTATTTAAAAGTTGCTATATTACACAAAATGGATTCTTGCGAAGTTTAAGTCATGTTAGAATGTTGTTATTGCATCAAAAACCGTACCTGGACTTGTGGTTTTTTTTTTCATTCACACATGTTTGAGTAATGAGTCTAGTCAAAATGCTCTGTTCCACTTTGTGATGTCACGAAGCGGTAGTTTGAAGTTAACAGCCAGCTTTTACTTTTTGTTCAGTGGAGATTGGCAGTTTCACATCTTAAATGATCAAAATTATTCTAGTGAATGTGTAAGAAGTTTAAAAACATGTTGAAACACTTCCTGTATTACCACATGACATCACCTAAATCTGCAGGGTTTGTGTGTTAAACATGTGTGAGTGAAACAAAACATAACTCCAGGTATGTTTTTGACAGGGAAATAACATTATAACATAGATCAGAAAATAGTGAAATATGGGACCTTTGAACAACAGGTATTTTTATAGTGAGTGGACACGCCTCTCCACAGATCTGAACTGTAACTTGGCCTGGTAGTAGGGCTTCTCGATTATCGAAAAAAACATTATCACGATTATTTTGGTCAGTATTGAAATCACGATTATTCAAACGATTATTTTTTATTTACATGATACACTTATTCAGCAATTCTCTCTCTCTCAAAAAAACCAAAAAAAAACCCCCAAAACACTTATTGATAATTTACGTAAAACTTTCACATTGAAAATAAATTCAGGCTACAAATATGAACATTAGAGCAGTTTTGTGATGTATAAAACATAAAATGAATAAAATATATTTGAATATGAAATAAGGCATAAAAAAACATAAATGTATCCAAAATAAACTATATATCCAGCTGTTCTACAATCTCTATATTTAAAAATTAAATAAATATACGTATTTATATAAAAAATATAACAAAATAAACTTTGTTAGGCTAAATTGGTTCAAGTCACATATTTGAGTTTGGAGATTGTTTCACACACAAATCTAAATCGCGATCAAAATTCGATTAATCGCACAGCCTTACCTGGTAGCGTCACTTATTTCTGTACAGATTGGTACTTTAAAGCAACGCTGTGTAACTTTCTGGTGGTTGCATGAAACATAATGTTAAAACTTTGCCGCAATCTACAGACAGAAATGTTTTATGTTATGTTTAATACCGTGGAAAATTATAGCCATAGGAACAATATTTCCATGGAAACCAGCAGGACGAAGTTTTTCTCCTAAGAGTCAGGTTTGTGGAGATGCAAGCCCACTCACCTGTAAAAATGCATGTTTTTCAAAATTAAATTTATGCCCCACCAGGTCAAGGTGTGGACTTCATTATATAATTTTTCTCTTCTCCACTTGTTAGACTTCTTGTTGTCTACTGACACATCAGAATTAAAGTTTGGAAATGTATTTCTTGAGGCAGAAATTATAACAATAATAAATGCATTCAGCAAGTTACAGTACATTTCTTGTGGGAAAGTACAACAAAGCTAGAATATAGAGAACTACTTATTGTGGTTAGAACCGAAGAGCTACTTTTAGATCCCAACAAGATGTTCAGGGGGTGTAGCTTTGATAAAAAAACATGTGGCTTAAAGCTTCTATATTACGCAAAATGAACTCATGTGAGCTTTAAGTCAAGTTATAATGTTGTTACCTCGTCAAAAACAGACCCGGAGTTCTGTTTTGTTTCATTCACACAAGTTTAACACACAAACACACCTGCATATTTAGGCTGAGTTCTTCTCGCAAGGTAAAAAGTAGCTTGTTGTTAACTTGAAAACTACTAACACTTCATGGTGGAACAGAGCGTTTTGAGTCTTGGAGATATAAACAGACTAAAAATAAAGTGTTACTCAAACATGTG